ACAAATAATACAAACAAAATTATTCCTACCTGGTTGTGTGACACTGTTCTTGTACACTGTAAAGATTTGTTGCTTATATTGTCCAGTAGCTTGACAAGAAGCATAGGCAGGGTGACCAGAATAGAATTCTTGGAATAGGAAAATGAGAGAGTAGTCACCAGCCAAAGAAAGGGGAAACAAGATGGGAATGCCTCACTGAGAAAAGGTACCAAGCTATGTGTTTAAACGTAGACAAAATTTATGGGTTAATTTAGGTTGTAAGAGCTAGTTAATAATAAGCCTGAGCTAATAGGCCAAATATTTTATAATTAATATAAGCCTATATATGTTTCTTAGGGACTGAATGACTCTAGGACTTGGTGGGACAGAAACTTCTGTTTACACTACCTATAAACCTAACAGGCCAGGAACACCTAAACCCATGGATGTTTGAAGACCTTGTCTGAGAAATGAAGTTTGTGTGCTTGTCCAAAACACCAGAGTCATGAGTGCTGCAATGCCCTCACTTTGATCATAACCACTGAGTCATCATCAGGCCATTTGATGTGTGCATCACCAGACACAAGGCAAGAAGCACTCAACTCTGTCCCAGGATGTCTGCTCACATGATCAGCCCAAATTGAAATGTTCACCTTGAGATCCCACTTTTTCAGACCTCTTATGCCTAGAGTCAGCTCTGTGCTTTGAAACAATATGCCACAAGCACCCTCTCTCTATCTTGAACTGACACCGTTCCTTGAACCAACTGAGTATTTATTGGCCTCTCTGTTCCAGAACAGCTCTCTCTGCTACATGAGTATCAGCTCCGTTTTCCCTTCAACAGCTCTGCTTTAACCCTTGCACCACTGTAAGTCTTTTTCTTTTTTTTTAATTATCAAGACAGGGTTTTTCCATAGATTTTTGGCTCCTGTCCTAGAACTAGCTCTTACAAGATCAGGCTGGCTTCGAACTCACAGAGATCCGCCTGCCTCTGCCTCTGCCTCCCGAGTGCTGGGATTAAAGGTGTGCGCCACCACCACCCGGCTCACTGTAAGTCTTTATGGGTCACTCTTTGTTTCATTGTGTTCAATGCAGTCTTTATCTGAGATACAATATTGATCTTTAGAATCAGAAGGAACCAATTTACACTTGCCAAAAGCTACAACCTCAGAAGAAACAAAAGAAATGAAAGGCAAGAAAGTTGATACACTTTATGAATGCCTTGTTCCTCAATAGCCTGACATGTGGATAACCTAAGTGTATCCATCCATGCATTTTTATATGGCATCCCCATGACAGTGATTGATTCAGTGAGTTTATCCCCAGTACCACTCTGCCATGCAGGAGCAGTGTCAGGTCAAATATCTGCAGTGGAACAATCCATTTCTAGTCTCTGAATGTGTGTTACACTCATTGGTTAATAAAATCCTGACAGGCCAGTAGTTGGGCAAGAACTTATACCAGAAGTCAAACTGAGAATGATGGGAAGGATGGAAGAGTCAAAGAGAAGCCAGCCAGCTGATAAACCAGAAGGATGTGTAAATAAAGAGGTAACAAGTTATGAGCCACATGGCAAAGCATAAATACAAATATGGGTTAATTTATGTGAAAGAGGTAGCTAATAACAAGTCTGAGTGATCAATTGAGCATTTATAATTTACATTCAGCTGTGAGGAAGCCACTTCTTTGTCCTGGTTGCCCATATCTGAAATAACCTCACAGATACTATATTAATTAAATTACTGCTTGGTCCATTAGCTCTAGCTTCTTATTGTTTAACTCTTACGTATTAATTTAAGCCATTTCTATGAATCTGTGCATCACCACAAGGTTGCGGTCTACCAGCAAAGTTTCAGAACATCTGTCTCTGGTGGCTATGGCTTCTCTCTCACTCCACCCTTCTTTCAGCATTTAGTCTAACTTTCCCTGCCTAGTTCTGTTCTGTGTAGGCCTAAGGCAGTTCTTTATTCTCATTAACTAATAAGAGCAACACATAGACAGAGGACCTCCCACACTATTCACCTCTGAGTCCGTTATTTGGGACCAGGCTTTTAGGATAGGAAACATCCATGTACAAATACCCATGCTGGATTTAAGGTTCAAAAGAGCGATAGGTTCCTCCTGACAGCCTGTTGTCACCAGGGCAGCCTGTTTCACCTTAGAGCTGCTGTCCTGGCCTCACACGGTTTGAACATGCACTGAACTGTGGTCTCAGACCCAGTCCCATGTTTTTCTACGTGCTATTCTCATCTGCATTTTCTTCCACCATAGGTGTCCTTGTATAGGAACTTCAGTCAAGTCCTGAAGATGCCTTCTGCTCCCATGTTGATCTCTTTATTTCCAATTTAGAGCTTCTATTTTCATATGATAATTCTCAATCAGAATGGAGTTCATGTCAAAATCATTATCAGTCATGTATATATTTGGTTCTCCTTTTTTATCTTATTTTTTAAAACAGAAAATAAACTATCTTTTTTCATTATACATTCCAATCCCAGATCTCACTTTCTCCCTTCCTCACATTCTCTCTACATTCGTCCCATCCCATCCCCCATCTGCTCCTCAGGGAGGGTAAGGCTCATTGCTTTCAGTAAGGACCAAGGCCGTCCCTACTATATTTAGGTTGAGCAAGGTATCCATTCAGAGAATGGGTTCCAAAAATCCAGTACAAGCAGTAGGGATAAATCCTGGTACCACTACCAGTGGCCTCTCAGTGTGCCCCAGCCAAATAACCATCACCCACATTCAGAGGGTCCAGTTTGTTCCCTGATGGTTCCTTCCCTGTCCAGCTGGAGTTGGTGAGCTCCCATTAGCTGAGGTAGACTGTTTCAGTGTGTGTCCCCATCATGGCTGTGACCTCTTTGTTCATATTTTCACTCCTCCCACTCTTCCTCTGGACTTTGGGAGCTCAGCCCAGTGCTCTGATGTGGGTCTCTGCCTCTGTTTCCATCAGTTGCTGGATGAAGGTTCTATGATGACATTTAAGATAGTCATCAATCTGATTACAGGGCAAGGCCAGTTCAAATGCTCTCTCCTCTATTGCTTATCTTAGCTGGGGTCATCCTGAAACAAGTAATTTTAACCATTGAGCCATCTCTCTATCCCCAGAACTTTCTAGTCTCCTTCTTAAATAATCATTGTTTAAGTGGTTGCTAAATACTGCTGTAATAAAAGCGGCGAGCCGCTTCCCGCTGCCCGGCTCCTAAGCAACTAGCTTTTGCCCCCAAATAATTACACGGAAACTGTATTCTTTTAAACACTGCTGGGCCCATTAGTTTTAACCTCTTATAGGCTAGCTCTTACATATTGATCTAACCCATTTCTAATATTCTGTGTAGCACCATGAGCTGGCTTACCAGGAAAGATCTTAACCTGTGTCTGTCTGGAGTGGGAAAATCATGGCGACTGCCTGACTCGACTTTCTTTCTCCCAGAATTCTGTTCAGTCTACTCCACCTACCTAATTTTATTTCCTATTAAAGGGCCAAGGCATTCTCTTTATTTAACCAATGAAATTAACACAAAACAGAAGACTCTCCTCCATAAAAATGCATTTCTTAAATTTAATTATGAGTGTTGTAAAAATAGATTTTGTGTCTTGTGATAAGAAATCTGTAATTCTATTCCTTCTATCTTTGAATGTAGCAATCAGTTTTCATAATAGTAATGGTCACAGATTACTTGTGAACATCCTTCTATGTTCTCACTTTAGTAATATTTAACCATGTTTACTGAAATGACTAGAAATTTATAACTGAAATTTTGGATGATATTTTTTTGAACAGGAGGGGTTTAACCTTCATTTTTCCACCAATGTCTGAGTAGAGCACACTGATGTGACAGAGCCTTAGCCCCATAGTCTGGTTTGTCTGAAATACCAAAGCCTAAGCCTTCTAGATCTCAAGGCACAGTGTTTTGAGGAAGCCATTGTTCTGAAGCTCCAAGTTTGCCTAGTGACAGACTGCTAATAGTTTTCTTCAAGAATAACAGAGCTTCTGGCAGATGTGTTTAGCAGGTTTTGCTTTCTTGTCTTTGCTGGTATGGGACATGTACTTGGGAGGACAGGAAGAAACTAGTTTTGCTTCCCTGCTGCTGTCCCTGAACCCTGGCTGCTTTGGTTGTCATCAGAGCTCTTCACACAGCTGCCCTCACCCTGTCTGCTTTAAGGATGCTCCTGGAGGAGGCTTGCCTGAGCAGCTGGTCCCTCAACAGGCAGGGTCTCATCACCCAAGATGTCAGCTCTTAGTTAGGAAATCTGGCTGCATTGAAGATGGTATTTTAAACTGTTCACATGCTCAGTTCACTAAAGGTCATACATTAAAGCAAACATTAGTAACTTGTGAAAAATGACATATAAATTTCATCTGTATTGCTTATCCTTAGAATTATTATACTGCTTAGCTACTGATTTGGTGTCCCTGTCTGTCCCTGTCATTTTAATATCTGAGTCGTCCTAGGATTTAAGCGTATCCATCACATCAATGATGATGTCATTGTCAGCAGTTCGAATTGTGGGCTGTGTGAAGATTCCTAATGACAGTCTGAAGCTGGAAATAGTCAGAAATTTCTTCTGATAGCCATGGAAATCCAAATAGTTATTGTGTAATACCCCATAATACAACATATAACCATACACAACACAGACACATATGCACACACAAGCACATGTACACACAGGACATAAGGTGATGGTGGCTATGTATTCTACATCTGAACTTATATTAATCATAATATGCTTTTAAAGTTAGAGAAATATGCCCTCTCATAAATTGCCTCTTCCCTCATGCATTATGAATAATATTTATTCTCTACTTGTTAGGGCTCATTTGTTTCTTAGGAATATGGAATCTATGGGTAGTCTATGTACTTAGTTATGCAGAGTTCTCATTGGGTCCTTAGAAAATCATAACCATATGAACTATTCATCAGAAAGGAATCTGCCTTTGACTACAGTCTAAACAGTCCTTAAGTGTGCTGCTCTGTGTAATAATGTTGTTTGTGTGGACAATCAACTTACTCTTCCTCTTCCTTCTACAGGAAGGAAGAACCTCTGAAGATGTCATCCAATAATGACCCTGTTACAGTCCCAATATTAGAAATAAATCCTAGTGACCTTCCTGAAATGGACACCAGTGACCTGAACTCATTGGCTGAAGAGGCTGTGTTAAGTTTTCATAACATCAGCTATCAGGAAACAGTGCAAAGTTGCTTTCTGTTTTCTAAAAAAACAAGTGTGAGAGGAAAACTATCAAATATCAGGTATGTGCATGAAGTAGAACATTGAGCAACTTTTCAATAAACACAAACTTTCTGTATCATTTATAAACTGTCTATGTTTATATGTGTGTATATGTGTATATATCTGTTTATGTGATTATACAAGTGTATGTGTGTATACATATATATATATATATGTTTACGCTTGTGTTTAAGTGTATATGTATGTATGCTCATATGTGCAGATGTGTGGATGCTATGACACACCCATAGCACAAGGCTGTCAGAGGAAAACCTTGAGCATTGGTCTTCACCTTCTACTGTGTTACCCACCGAGTCGCTCATTGTTCACTGCTGGTTATGCCTGGTTAGCAGACTGCAAGTGTCCTGAGATTCCCCTGCCTGGTGTAGCTAAGTTTTCTGTAAGAATAAAAATCCATGCCCCTTTCAATTTGAATATTCACTACTCTGAAATAATCAATCAGATTATTTGGACATAATTTGTGTTTGTGCTGTACCTATACATCAATAAATAATGTCCTCTACTTGAGGGATGTCTCCCAATTTTACCTGAGCATATTGTAATATTTTTATAAGAGAAAGAAATAATCATTTTAGGGCTATATATTTAGTTTTTCTATTTTGATTAAGGTGGTGTTTTGTTTTTTGTTGTTTTCAGTGTTAAACTTCGCAATGCTCTCCTGCACTCTGAGTGTGTCTTTCTAATGTTTGGATTTCTACTTAAGATGCACTGATTTTGGTTGATTCCATTTTAGTAGTAATTACATTGCTATTGATGTCCCATGAATCACTGGTTTCTTGTGACAACGTCTATGAGGCAGCGAGCAGGGTCCTATGAAGATATTAATCATAAAACAGTAGTGAGAAACTGTTATATAATTGACACATAAAGGCCATGTGTGTAATGGAGTCTTCATGAGAAACTGCTACTTGCTTCAAAGAGCACTTATCTTAGATGAACCACATATCACAGAAGACAAGTCCTTAAATAATAAACAGAGAGCTTTTGTGATACCTGAGACATTTTTGACTAGTTTTCACTAGCAACTGACATCTTTGATAAGTAAAAGGCTCCTAATAATGTTTTAATTTTATGAGTTTGCACTTATTTTCTGTGAACAATTTTATCCAACTTCAATATCATGTTCAGCATAGACCCTAAACTAATATAATTTCCTTTACAAAAAAATCAACCAGTATAATTTTGTGTTTACAGTGGGATCATGAAACCTGGCCTCAATGCAATTATGGGACCACAAGATGGAAGCAGATCTTTGTGAGTATAATGATAAGCATACAAAAGCCCTTTGTTGTAGTGACATTTCATTTCTATTTTAATAAATAAAGCTTGCCTGAAGATCAGAAAAGTAAAACAGTTATACTGGCCAGCCTTACAGACTAGGCAGCAATGACACACACCTTTAATCCCAGTAACCACACTAGTCTGCTATAGAAACTGAGCAGTAGTGGATCAAACCTTTAATCCCAGCCCAAGAGAGGATTATAAAACAGGAGGAGGCAGCTCTCACACACAGTCACATTCTGACATTCCTGGAGTCAGGATCACCATTTTGGGACTGAGGTTGTGTAGTAATATCTAAGAGTTCTAAAATAGCCCAGAATGGAGTATAACAAAGGTTTATTTAATCAGGGATAAACTCCCAGTTTGGGTACCAATCTGTAATCCTTTTCCTGCGCTGGGGACTGGAACCCAATCCAGCAGAAAAAATGGGGCCGTACTTACTTTTTGTCAGCACTTATAGTGCAGGAGACCACACCCAATGTGGGCTGGTATCTTAAAGCCTATTGGCTGAAGGAAACAGGGCCATCTAAGAGTCAGTAATTGGTTGATTTGCTTATCTTGTCTTCAGGTTGAACCCCAGTATCTGTTTCTGAGTTTTTATTAATTGTGCTCCACTTTGTATCCAGTTTCTGTGCTGTAAAGAGGAAATCAGTATTTCAGTACTGAGTGAGTGTAACTGTGAGTGTGTATGACTGTGTCTGGTCCCGTGTGCTGTGGGTAGTGTGTAGGAGGGTGCATTCTAATTTTACACCAGGAGCAGGAAGTCTTACTAGGTCACTTTACTGCTAGGAAATGACTGTGATTGGCCTATGGTGTTGGGTCATATGACTATTTCTTGTGGGAGAGATAGTATTAAGATTAGAATGATATATTAAGATTATTATTGATTTTGTAAGTAATTATTAATGATTATTAATACTATCATTAATGATGAATAATGATAGCATTAAGATTAGAAAGTTTCATGAAGACAAGAATTCACCACCAGGCCTAATTCTCAAAGTACAGCAGCACATTACCTTTTTGAGTACTCAAGGTCAGATAGCAGGGAGAGGTGGTCATACAGATCATTTCTTACATTCATAATTTTGGGCTGTATTAGAGCACATTCTGAACAGAAAGAAGTGTGTGTGTGTGTGTGTGTGTGTGTGTGTGTGTGATATTTCAGCCTTTTGATATGCAAAAATTTTATTCTGAATATCTGAAAGCTGATTGCTGTTACTGAAGGGAGGAAGTAAACCATACAACATATATAATCCTTGTAGGTTATTAGATGTCTTAGCTGCAAGAAAAGATCCACATGGATTATCAGGAGATATTTTGATAAATGGAAAACCTCGACCTGCTAATTTCACATGTACTTCTGGTTATGTGCCACAAGTAAGTGCTGTTGGGTTTGTAATTTTAGGTTTCCCCTCATTCTGTGTGGTTATATGCTCAGCTAATAGACCTGTGTGTTTCCAGTTCATTATATGACACATTAAGGCCGTACTTTCTCTACACTGACTTTTCACAATGACTCATTAGCCTGAGAGTGACATTATAAAATAGGAAGATGTGGAGAGATTGAAGTATGACATCTACAGCACAGTATTAGTAATTGAAGGTGTAATATAATTCTACAGAGTACTACAGTTGTCCAATTTTGTCCTTCCTTCATCCTTCACTGCTTAGTTTTCTGCAAATAATTGCAGATAGCCATCACCAAAATCCCTGTGCTCTACTTGGATGATAAATGGGAAGGAGTGAAAATTATTTCATCAAGTTCTGTACTTGAAATTAGTAAAATTGGAAGCTTTGTTTTTTAGGAAATATTGTATTGTGTATATTTTATATGAGGATTAGGTTGCATTTGTTAGAATGATTGTTTCACTGATCACTATATTTAATTGAAATTCTATTTAACCTTAAGAATGACGTGGTGATGCGCACGGTGACTGTGAGAGACAACATAGAGTTCTCAGCTGCTCTTCGACTGCCAATGACTATGGCAAGAGATGAAAAAAGAAGGAGAATTAATGAGGTCATTGAACTTCTGCATCTGGATAAAGAGTCAAATGTTAAGGTAATGTGAAGAAAAGTCTTGAAAGGCTCAGCTGACAGAGGAGGGGGAGATACGTGTGTGGATTACATGACCCTCTATCAGCAGTTCCATATGATGTATGTAGTCACACTGGCTGATCTCTGCACTAATCAAGTGACTGGTTACAAGATTTAAAAGAAAATTAAGCTGGGAAGTCTTCTTAACAATGACTAAACCTGGGAATGGAGTGTAATTCAGCATGGAAGAGTGTTCCTCACATGGCCATTTCCAAGTGCTCCTCACATGAGCCTCCACTTTCCTCAGCCTTAAACTCTTGACTCTTTAGAGAATTGGAAAAGTGCTTTCTTCAATTTATTGTCACTTTCTCTAGAGGACTTGTCCCTTGTTTCAGAATGTGCTTCTGGACAGACACAGGTTTTGCAGTGGAGAACTCTGGCTCTGCGTTCACTCTGCATTTGTTTCCCTCCATGGTTGTCCTTGGTCTCTTTCTCACTTACTTCTTACTTGTGTAGCGCATGTTATTTTCTGTAGCCTTTTTTCTTGTGTTTTTTTCTCATCCTTACTTGTGGTTGCTAGTTTTGACTGTCAGCTTGACACAGTGTAGTATCACATGGATCATCTAGCAGAGAGCCTCAGTGAGGAATTTCTGTGGGTAATTGTCTTGATTAAGTTAAGCGAAGTAGGAAGACTCAGTTCACTTAGCCAGCACCCTTTTGGGTTTTGGGTTCTGGGTGTTGTGAGAATAGAAAAAGTGAGTTGAGCACTGACAGGCATGTAGGCATCATCCTCTCTTGACTGGGTGTAACCGGCTGCAGCAGCTTCATGTCTTGACTTCCCTACAATGGTCAACTGTACTTTTCAACTTTGTACTGAAATAAAACCCTATGCTCCCTTTTTACCTTTAATCTGAGCAACTGCTCAGACAACTAGGATGTACTTCTGCCTTCATTCCCTGCTTCTTTATATTCTGTCATACATATTCTAAGACCCTGTGTAAAGTTTTATAGATACAACCTTGGGCAAGTGTAGCAATAAAGGGGCCAAGTGACTTCCTGTTGAGATTTGTACAGGATCAGGGAAGGTAATAGGCAAGTTGTGAGCTTCACAGCTGAATGTTGTAATACATAACTAGTTTATTACTGACATGTTTAAAAAGAATATTTTATAGTATTTCATCCTTGAATACTTAATTTTTATCCGTGATGAATAAGAATGTTTGCTTATCTTAATAAGTCCATCCTTAACTATCAAAATGAAATAAATCCTGATGCTCCCAGCCCAGTCAGGTGATAACCATTCACATTCCCCAAGTGTTCTTTGTTATTACATTGTTTATAGAAACTGATTAGGTACTGTATTTATTATATGCTTATAGATTATAATATCATGGTTCCTTCCATTTTATTATCTCTTCCAAATAATCATGCCTCTCACAATGACATCAATTCATTGAAAAATTATATAGAGATGTTTGCTGAGCAGACATTCGTATATATGGATGAAAATAAACACGCTAGAATAGGATTCTTATGGATTAACTGCTGTGGTGTCTCCTCCTTAGTGGAAGTGAGGAATAGGGAGGTACCGGCTGCTGATTCCCACAATCCTTCTCCACAGACATTTATGAGATGTTCGTCTAGTTGAGAATAATAATAGAAAAACTGCTGTTTACCACTCTTTCTTTTCTCCTTCGTGATGGAGTTTTGTGTGCTTTGCTTTGTTTATTTACATGGTTTTGTATTTATAATAAGGTAGGTTTTTTTGCTTAATTTTTACCAATAATTAGTCATTGCTCTCAGTTGCTTACTTGTTTTATAAAGGACAACAAAAAAAAGATATTTATTAACTTCTCAAAAGGCATGCAGTGTAATAGATTTCAAGATTTGTAACATTATTCCTTAATGATAGCTTTCAGGAAAAGGTGTATGTAGTGTGAACACATAGACATGTGTGCATGTGTGTGTGTGTGTTGTGTGTGTGTGTGTCTGTTTGTGGGCGCCTGAATGTCATAGCACACACAGGGGAGTCATAGGACACCTTTGCCACATGTCTGTTCTCTCCTCCCACCTTGTTTTTAAGTCAAGATCTGTCTTGTTCAGCTGACGCCCTATAGGCATTTCTGATGCTACTGGTGCACCTCCCATTAGAGATGCCTGCCACTGCATGTAGCTTTATATGTGAGTTCCAGGGGCTGAACCCAGGCTTCAGGTGTGTGGCAAGTGCATATCCATTGCAAGACTTCTCTTCAGCCTTTCATAAGATTTTGTTCTAAGAAATGTAGAGGCAATATGTGGTTACTGTAAAAGATTAACTGTTAAATGGGCAGCACAATAGTATACTTGCTAATGCCAGCCTCCTGGGATCTCAGTGTTTAGAACAGCATACTATCAGGGAGCCTTGAGTACCATCTTTCACAACCCCACAGGGTCCAGGTAAGATTCCCTATGGCAGGCAAAAACTACCTGGGGAAATGATCTGATGGGTAGTACAAACTGATGGACTTGAACATGTTACCTCTGCGTGTTTCTTTTTTCCTGGCAGACAGTAGGTAAGAGGAAGAGGAATTAGAAGGGGAAGTAAAAGAAGAAGGAGGAGAAGAAAAAGAGCCATTCTGCACAAAGCTTTCAGTTTTTATAGTCATACAAATACAAAAATACAAAAAAAAATACTCTAACCTATAAACTCTTTTCTTAACTATGAAAATTAATGATTTCTTTTTATCCTGAGTCTTGTCCTCACCACACTTATCACATTCCTCAAACATCCTTTGTTGTATGTTGTGGGTGGAGCTTCATCATGGTTTTGGTTATCATGTTTGGAGAGAATTGTTCCCTAGTTCTGTGTTCCCATAATCCTTGCTATTCCCTCTCACCTTACACATGACATTGGCTGGCACAAAGACTCTGCCAGTTTTACCAGTAGACTCTGTGACCTCTTGAATTTGTCTGGAAAGATGAGTCCTTAATTCTGTGATGCTGTACAGTTGAATAATGTCAATTTATGAAGTCTTAAGAGAGTTGAAAAGACCCTGATATGGAAATGTGAAAGTTTTGAAAAAAGCAGTGAGTGTATCTGTATCTCTGTGTGTCTGTCTATAAATGTGTATGTGTGTGTACGTGTGTATGTCTATGCATGAATATGTGTGTGTGTATCTGTGTGTGTATGTCTATGCATGGATGTGTGCCTATGCATGTGTATGTGTGTGTGTATCTGTGTGTGTGTCTATGCATGGGTATGTCTGTCTGTGAATGTGTGTTCGAAGGTTGTTAAATGTGTACTAAATTTCTAGAGATACTTCATCTTCTCCTGTCCCATCCTCCTCACTACTCAGACAGAGAATTCACCATGCCAGGTTTGAGTGTGATAACTCATTACCTAGAATATGTGACTTGATAAAGAAAAAACAGTAACTGTCATTAGCACAGGCTTTATGTCAAGTCTGTTTTGAGATTCTATTCACTTGGAAAAGAGATACCTTCTTCTTCTCCCAGGTGCACATATTTTTGTTCCTCATCATATTGGTATAACAAAACTTTTTATTGCTTGCACAGGCTCATTCACCAAACAACAATGACTGTTGGTGTGCTTATTGATAATGGTGGTCATTGTTGCTTTAGCCTAGATCTAAAGAGCTCAGGAAAAGGACCAGTATAGCAATGGAGCTGGTCACCGAGCATCCCATTTTGTTCTTGGATGATCCCACCACTGACTTAGACTTGAGCACTACTACTGATGTCATCTCGGTCCTGAGAAGGTAAGTGCTGAAGGAACATTAAGTTTTATTAAATTAATGTGGAACAGATGCTTAAAAGAAATCCCACACCAGCTCAGAATTGAGAAATAGATAGTTATTTATTTAGAGGAAAACTCACAAATCAGAATTCTCTGCCTTGAATGGAGAACAGAGATCAAATCCAGCAATCCAGCAATCAGAAAGAGCAGCAAGGGAAGAAAGAAAAATGGGGAAGATGCAGGCTCTGCATCAGCATTTACAGTATAAGAGACCACACCCCAGTAGGCGGGTAACCACAAGCTGTAAGATTTCCTACAGCATATTAATAGCTGATTTTGTGTGTGTATTTTTGGTGTAGGAGATTCAGAGGGAAGCTACAAAATTTCTTCCTTGTTTATTGGAGGGGAACATGAAGTAACAAGGAATACACATCAAGAACAATGAGACAGGAGCATAGGGAAGATGGCTGTGGTGAAGGTGAAGACTGCTTTAAATAGCATGTCCCCATAGCACACAAGCATTGGTCAAGAGAGCTGAGTAGGTGATATCTGAACAGAATGCTGTATGGACGGAAAACTTATTTGTTCTGAGGCAGAGCATGTTTGGTGTGTCTGCAACATTAGAGAGACAGGGTGGACCAGAACCCTGTGGCCTGAGGAGAACGAAGGTTACCAGTGCACAGCTAAAGACACCACAGGCTGGGTGACTTGATAGAAGTTAGATTTCTTACAGTTCTGGATCCCAGATACCAGTTATTAGGGTATCTATAGGCTGTGTCTGCTGAGGCCTGGGTCGCTGGGTTGTGCATGATATCTCCTCCCTATGTGTCTGTGCCCTGATCTCAAAGGGACACCTTTACACTAGGGCACACTCGTATTCTCATTTAAATTTAATTACCTTTTAAAGACTTTATCTCCAATTATAGTCACATTCCAAGTCCTTAGATGTGAAATATTCCAAAAATGAGTTCTTGGAAGCATACAGTTGAGCTCTCCACATTTACAACTGAATGGAGGAAGTTCTTTGGGTTGGATATAGATTGCCTGGACCCTTGGGGCCACTGTAAAGTGTAAGGTTTTATTTATTTATTTATTTATTTATTTATTTATTTATTTATTCTTTTTGAGAAAAGAAAAAAAAAGTTTCCCCCTCCGCCCAGCCTCCCATTTCCCTCCCCCTCCTCCCACCCTTCTCCCCCTGCCCCCACTCCTCTCTCCCTCCCTCTCCAGTCCAACGAGCAGTCAGGGTTCCCTGCCCTGTGGAAAGTCCACGGTCCTCCCCCCTCCGTCCATGTCTAGGAAGGTGAACATCCAAACTGGCTAGGCTCCCACAAAGCCAGAACCTGAAGTAGGATCAAAACCCCGTGCCAGTGTCCTTGGCTTCTCATCAGCCCTCAATGTTCTCCATGTTCAGAGAGTCCGGTTTTATCCCAAGCTTTTTCAGTCACAGTCCAGCTGACTTTGGTGAGCTCCCAATAGATCAGCCCCACTGTCTCAGTGGGTGGGTGCACCCCTCGTGGTCCCGACTTCCTTGATCATCTTCTTACTCCTTCCTCTCCTCATTGGGACCTTGGGAGTTCAGTCCAGTGCTCCAGTGTGAGTCTCTGTCTCGATCTCCATCCATCACCAGATGAAGGTTCTATGGTGATATGCAAGATATTCGTCACTATTGCTATAGGATAGGGTCGTTTCAGGTTCCTTATCCTCATCTTCCCAAGGAACTAACTGGGGACATCGCCTTGGGCTCCTGGGAGCCCCTCTAGGTTCAAGTCTCTTGCCAGCCGTAAGGTGGCTCCCTTAACTAAGAATTGTGCTTCTGTGCTCCCCTATCCAGCCTTCCTTTATGCCAATCATCCTGTTTCCCCAAGTTCTCCCCATCCTCCCTTTCTCCCTTTTCTCTCCCCATCTCCCCTTACCCCCAACCCACCCCACCCCCAAGATTCCACTTTCCTTCCTGGCAATTTTGTCTACTTCCCATAGGCAAGGGGATAACTATATGTTTTTCCTTGGATTCACTTTCTTATTTAGCTTCTTTATGTTCACCAATTGTAGACTCCGTGACCCTTATTTATGGCTAGAAACCAATTATGAGTGAGTACATCCCATGTTCATCTTTTTGGGTCTGGGTTACCTCACTCAGGATAGTGTTTCTATTTCCATCCATTTGCATGCAAAATTTGAGAAGTCATTGTTTTTTACCGCAGCGTAGTACTCTAGCGTGTATATATTCCATACTTTCTTCATCCATTCTTCCATTGAAGGGCATCTAGGTTGTTTCCAGGATCTGGCTATTACAAATAATACTGCTATGAACATAGTTGAACAAATGCTTTTGTCATATGATCGGGCATTTCTTGGGTATATTCCCAAGAGTGGTATGGCTGGGTCCAGGGGTAGGTTGATCCCGAATTTCCTGAGAAACTGAAACACTGATTTCCAAAGTGGTTGCACAAGATTGCATTCCCACCAAAAATGGATGAGTGTACCCCTTCCTCCACAGCCTCTCCAGCAAAGGCTATCATTGGTGTTTTTGATTTTAGCCATTCTGACAGGTGTAAGATGATATCTCAAAGTTGTTTTGATTTGCATTTCCTTGATTGCTAAGGAGGTTGAGCATGACCTTAAATGTCTTTTAGCCATTTGAACTTCTTCTGTTGAGAATTCTCTGTTCAGTTCAGTGCCCCATTTTTTAATTGGGTTAATTAGCATTTTAAAGTCTAGTTTTTTGAGTTCTTTATATATTTTCTAGATCAGACCTTTGTATGTTGCAGGGTTGGTAAAGATCTTCTCTCAGTCAATAGGTTGCCTTTGTGTCTTAGTGACAGTGTCCTTTGCTTTACAGAAGCTTCTCAGTTTTAGTAGGTCCCATTGATTCAATGTTGCCCTTAATGTCTGTGCTGCTGGGGTTATACCTAGGAAGCACTCTCCTGTGCCCATCTGTTGTAGGATATTTCCCACTTTCTCTTCTATCAGGTTCAGTGTGTTCGGGCTGATATTGAGGTCTTTAATCCATTTGGACTTGAGTTTTGTGCACGGTGATAGATATGGGTCTATTTTCATTCTTCTACAGGTTGACATCCAGTTGTGCCAGCACCATTTGTTGAAGATGCTTTCTTTCTTCCATTGTATACTTTTAGCTCCTTTATCGAAAATGAGGTGTTCATAGGTTTGTGGGTTAAAATCCGGGTCTTCTATACGATTCCATTGGTCGACTTCTCTGTTTTTATGCCAGTACCACACTGTTTTCATTACTGTAGCTCTGTAATAGAGTTTGAAGTCAGGGATGGTAATGCCTCCAGAAGAGCCTTTATTGTATAGGATTGTTTTGGCTATCCTGGGTTTTTTGTTTTTCCATATAAAGTTGATTATTGTCCTCTCCAGATCTGTGAAGAATTTTGATGGGACCTTGATGGGGATAGCATTGAATCTATAAATTGCCTTTGGTAGAATTGCCATTTTTACTATGTTTATCCTCCCAATCCAAGAGCAAGGGAGATCCTTCCATTTTCTGGTATCCTCTTCAATTTCTTTCTTCAATGCCTTAAAGTTCTTGTCAAATAGATCTTTCACTTCCTTGGTTAGAGTTACCCCAAGATATTTTATGCTGTTTGTGGCTATCATGAAAGGTGAAGCTTCTCTGATTTCCCTCTCTGCTTCCATATCCTTTGTGTATAAGAGGGCGACTGATTTTTTGGAGTTGATCTTGTATCCTGCCACATTACTAAAGCTGTTTATCAGCTGTAAAAGTTCTTTGGTGGAGTTTTGCAGGGTCGCTTATGTGGGCTATCATATCGTCTGCAAATAACGAATGTTTAACTTCTTTCTTTCCAATTCGAATCCCCATGATTCCATTATGTTGTCTTATTGCTATTGCTAGAACTTCAAGCACTATATTGAAGAGGTATGGTGAGAGTGGACAGCCTTGTCATGTTCCTGAGTTTAGTGGGATGGCTTTGAGTTTCTCTCCGTTTAATTTGATGTTAGCTTTTGGCCCTCTGTATATTGCTTTTATTATATTTAGGTATGACCTTTGTATCCCTAATCTCTCCAATGCTTTTATCATAAAGGGATGTTGGATTTTGTCAAATGCTTTTTCAGCATCTAATGAAATTATCATATGGTTTTTTTCTTTCAGTTTATTTATATGATGGATTACATTGATAGATTTTCGTATGTTGAACCAGCCCTGCATCCCTGGGATGAAGTCTACTTGATCATAATGGATAATTTTTCTACTATGTTCTTGGATACCATTTGCTAGTATTTTGTCGAGGATTTTTGCGTCAATATTCATGAGTGAGATTGGCCTGTAATTCTCTTTCTTGGTTGAGTCTTTGTCCGGTTTTGGTATCAGAGTGACTGTAGCTTCGTAAAAGGAATTTGGCAATGACTCTTCTGTTTCTATATTGTGAAATACATTAAGGAGTATAGGTATTAGGTCTTCTTGGAAGTTCTGGTAGAATTCTGCATTGAAACCATCTGGTCCTGGGCTTATTTTGCTAGGGAGGTTTTTGATAACAGCTTCTAATTCTTCGTGACTAACAGGTCTATTTAGGTCATTCACCTGGTCCTGGTTTAACTTTGGTATATGGTATTTATCTAAAAAAGTGTCAATTTCTTTTACATTTTCCAGTTTTGTGGCATACAGGCTTTTGTAGTAAGATCTAACGATTCTCTGAATTTCCTCTGTGTCTGTGGTTATGTCCCCCTTTTCATTTCTGATCCTATTAATTTGCATATTCTCTCTCTTCCGTTTGATTAGTTTGGATAGGGGTTTATCAATCTTGTTGATTTTCTCCAGGAACCAGCTTTCTGTTTCATTGATTCTTTGGATTGTTTTCTGTGTTTCTATTTTGTTTATTTCAGCCCTCAGTTTGATTATTTCCAGTCTTTTACTCCTCCTACGTGAGTCTGCTTCTTTTTTTTCTAGAGCTTTCAGGTGGGCTGTTAAGTCTCCAATGTGTGCTTTTTCTGTTTTTTTTTTTTTTTTTACGTGGGCACTTAGTGCTATGAACTTTCCTCTCAGGACTGCTTTCATAGTGTCCCATAAGTTTGAGTAGCTTGTTTCTTTATTTTCATTGAATTCGAGGAAGACTTTAATTTCTTTCTTTATTTCTTCCTTGATCCAGGTATGGTTCAGTAGTTGACTGTTCAGTTTCCATGAGTTTATAGGCTTTCTGGGGGTAGCACTGTTGTTGCCTTCTAACTTTAATTTATGGTGATCTGATAAGACGCAGGAGGTTACGAATATTTTTTTGTAACTGTGGAAGTTTGCTTTGTTACCCAGTATGTGGTCAATTTTCGAGATGGTTCCATGAGCTGCAGAGAAGAAGGTATATTCTTTCCTATTTGGGTGGAATAATCTATAGATGTCTATTAAGTCCGTTTGCTTCATTACCTCCCTTAATTCTCTAATTTCTCTGTTAGGTTTCTGTCTGATTGACCTGTCTATTGGTGAGAGAGGAGTGTTGAAGTCTCCTACTATTAGTGTGTGCGGTTTGATGGCTCCTTGAGTTTTAGTAATATTTCTTTTACGTACGTGGGTGCTTTTATAATAGGGTCATAGATATTCAGGATTGAGACTTCATCCTAATGAATTATTCCTGTTATGAGTATAAAATATTCCTCTCCATCTCTTCTGATTGATTTGAGTTTGAAGTCAACTTTGTTAGAAATTAGTATGGCCACACCTGCTTGTTTCTTAGGTCCATTTGCTTGATAAGCCTTTTCCCAGCCCTTTACTCTGAGTAGGTGCCTGTCTTTGTGGTTGAGGTGTGTTTCTTGTAAACAGCAGAATGTTGGATCCTGTTTTCGTATCCAATCTCTTAGCCTGTGCCTTTTTATAGGTGAGTTGAGCCCATTAACATTAAGTGATATTAATGATCAGTGGTTGTTAATTCCGGTCACTTTTTTAGTAGTAGAGGTTGTGTGTTTCCCTTCTTTGAGTTGCACTGGTGAAGGGTCTCTAGATGTCTGAGTTATTGTGGGCATTGTTGGACTCCTTGGTTTGTGATTTTCCTTCTATTACTTTCTGTAAGGCTGGATTTGTGGCTACATATTGTTTAAATTTGTTTTTATCCTGGAAAATTTTGTTTTCTCCATATATAGTGAACGAAAGCTTGGCTGGATATAGTGGTCTGGGCTTGCATCCATGGTCTCTTAGTTTTTGCAGTACATCTATTCAGGACCTTCTGGCTTTCATTGTTTCCATAGAGAAATCAGGTGTAAGTCTGATAGGTTTACCTTTATAAGTAACTTGGCCTTTTTCCTTTGCATCTCTTAATATTCTTTCTTTATTCTGTATGTTTTGTGTTTTGATTATTATATGGCGAGGAGATTTTTTTTTTGTCCAGTCTATTCGGTGTTCTGTATGCTTCTTGAACCTTCAAAGGAATATCCTTCTTTAGGTTGGGAAAGTTTTCTTCTATAATTTTATTAAATATATTTTCTGGACCGTTGAGCTGTACTTCTTCTCCTTCTTCTATCCCAAATATTCTTAGGTTTGGTCTTTTTATTGTGTCCCAGTTTTCCTGAATGTTTTGTGATGAGAATTTGTTGGCTTTGCTGTTTTCTTTGATCAGTGCGTTTATTTTCTCTATGGTATCTTCAGTGTCTGAAATTCTTTCTTCTATCTCTTGTAATCTGTTGGTAGTACTTGTCTCTGTATTTCCTGATTGTTTACCCTGATTTTCCATCTCCGTCCTTCCCTCGGTTTGTGTTTTCTTCATTACTTCCATTTCATTCTTCATGTCTTGAACCACTTTCCTTACCTGTTTGATTGCTTTTTCTTGTTTCTCTTGGTTTTCTTGGGTATCTTTGAGCACTTTATTCATTTCCTCTACCTTTTTGTTTGTGATCTCTAATTGTTTATGGCAGTTTTTCACCTCCTGTTTAAGGTCTTCTATTATTTTCATATAATTCACTTTTGAGTCGATTTCTTCTAATTCTTCTAGTGTAGGGTGTACAATTCTTCTTATTTCGGGATCTCTGGATTCTGGTGATGTCATGTTGCCTTTCAGGTTGTTGGAGGAATTCTTGCCTTGGTGCCTTCCCATCTCTTCCTTCAAATGGAGCCAGGAGAGGCCTGGTGTCTTGGTCCAGTCTTTGTTGTGACTGACTCTCTGGTTGTAACTCTTCAGTGTAGAAGCAGGAACCGTCCAGTCCAGATGGAACTTCTCAGCACCGTTAAATAGACACCTGGTAGTCCAATAACCCACGGACAAATGGGAGAACTTGGGGGGCAGGGTGGGGACGAGTAGAACACAGGACACCCTGCCTCCAAAGCTGAAGGTGCGCGTGTTCCCTTTCGGGGGGGGGGGGGGGGCTTGAGGCCTGCCCGGTAGGCAGGCACTCACCTCTCTGGGTGAGTAGCCTTAGTGTAGGAGCAGAAAACTGTTCCTGAGCAAAGGACCTAGCAGATAACACAGGCTTGTGTGTGTGTGTGGAGGGGGGGGGGGTCGGGTGTAAGAAAGACAGCCCTGCAGAAGGAGCTGGGGGAGAGGGGTTTGTGGTCTCTTCCGGGTCAATCTGCCCCTGGATTGCACACACTCGCCTGGTAGCCCGATGATCCAGGGACAAAAGGAAAAAACCCGTCCCAAGTCTAAGGTTTGCCATGGCAGGGCATGTGGGAAAGCTTCTGAGTTTGGAGCAGAGCAATGCATCATGGAGAAGGTTGTGCAGCTACACTATGGGGATGTAAATATCAGCAGGAGGCAGAGATCTTGTAGTTCCCTTGCTAAGAAATGGTGGACTCTAGATAGCTTAGAATATAGAATAAAGAGCATTATCTCTGATACTAGCTTTGGATGTGATTTGAGGAATGATTGCTTAAGTCTGGGTCCTAAACCTGGGGCAGAATGAGTAGAAGAAATGGTATTTTCTTCTCTCACGGACTAAGTCTGTGGTTGAAATATTTAAAGAACATCTGTAAGTGTTGGGTTTTGAACATTTTAGGAATTAGTAGAATTTCAAACTGACTGAATAACCCAAAGAACCATTTAAGGACTATCCCATTCCCATGACCTAGGCTCCAGGCCATTGAACTTTACTGTGTTCTCTGTCTTTCCTTCTTCCCCTTGTTCTTTGCTTTGTTCTGACAACATGGTCCTTACATACCCCATCCTATCCCTCTAAGAACCAAGGTCACTTCACCATTGTGCCTTCTCAGTGATGAAGTCAACAACCTGCGCCTTGCTACCTACTTGTCTGCAGACACCTCAGTTTTCAGCCTCCTTCCTGTCTGCTTCAGTATACTCTAAGATCATCTTCTTGCTCATGTTTCCGTGTTGAGTGCTTCTCTCTATTCCTGTGTCTTATGCTATTGCTAGTCTTAGTGCATTGTATGGGGTCATCCCAATTGTGGTTTATCCCAGAGTTCTGGAAGCAGACTCAGGCCTTGATATGTCGCAGAAGGGGTATGTTGGTTTGGGCAAACTCAAAGCCCTGGACGTGTGCCTGGGTGGTAGCTGAGCTGGTCAGTCCAGGACAGATATGCCACCATTCCCTGATTTTATAAACATATTTTCAAGAAAGTTTTAAGTACTGTTTTGGGTTATTGCCTCTCCTAATGAAAGATATGACTTTCTGAAATGGTCATTCAGTTCATTTTTTCCTATCATGGAATTAAACCAAAAATCTAATCCCAGCTTTGCCCCTCACTAACTGACCTTGGATTGTTGCTTGACCTTTTAAAATGTTGTTGAAGAATCTTAAGACTTTATTAAGGTAAAATAGGGATAAAACTCACTGATACAAAACAAATTAGATCCAGTTTTTGTGGCCTGTCGTTCTGCCAAGGGGAATGTGAACCAGTTGCTGCTTGCTCTGACAGAGGGAGGGGAAGGAAGAGGGAGAGAGAGAATGTGACCTCTCTCAGTTCTTAAGAGGTCACTTATGCAGACAGGACCACTAGGCCTTGCATCCCCCAAAGTCATTGGCTAAATGGATTTAAATCATACAAGACCTTATCAACACAAAAGAGGAAACTATTAGAATTGCCTCATGCTGATATTGTGAAAAGAAAATGAGGTTCTTGCTGCAGTGTTTAGCGGGAGAGGAAGTGGTTAGGAATGTGAATCACATCATCATATGTTGCACACTTCAAGAAGTCCTAATCATTTAAGTAAAGACTTGGAGCTTGGTTTCTCTATCAGGTACATAACACAAGTGAGACGAGTTGTTTTTAAGGAGAATTCAAGCTGAAATGGGAACAGAGAGTACAAATATTTTGTCAAGAATCTCAAGGTTTCTGTTCAGTGACTTATGACTTTTCCTATTTTGAACTTAGGATGTCTATGAGGGGACGGACAATCATCTTTTCCATTTATCGGCCCCAGTACTCCATCTTCAGACTGTTTGACAGTCTCACCTTAGTGGCATCAGGAAATGTCATGTTTCACGGGCCTGCACAGAAGGCTTTGGAGTACTTCAAATCCGCAGGTATGGCTGGATTTGCTGTCAGAGCTCCTTCATTCACGGGATCTGGGGAGAGAACAGGGGTTCTCAGAAATGCTGCTTGGGCCTCATTCAGACTTATTGTGTGTGAGTTTCTCCATTTTTAATACCTTTGGTTAATTTGGTGATAGGATTCTGCTATTTGTGCAGCACAGGCTAGCTATGCAGGTCTCCTTCCTTTCTCCTGTCCTGCATCATGCCTGTGTTTCAGGATTGTTACTGAGCCTCTTGTTCTGCTTCCTAGTCATGGTGACCCTCTTAATTAACATGCTGGCCTCAGGCCCAGTTATCCATCACTTAAACAGCTTTGGCAAGGCCCAGCATCATTGTGTTCTTGGTCATGCAGCAGACGATGATTTTCAGGTTTCCCCTCATGTCACCTGACTGCTGTGGAGAGGTTACTTAACTTAGCAGTAACTTTGCATTTCAGGTTTAGGAAATGATTGAGGGCTGTAGTGGCTCAAGTCCGGGTTCTGTGAACTCATATTTTGGTCTGCCTGTTCTTTTTTTCAGTCAGGTTGGATGATTACATACTTTTAATGGGACATGCCATCAAGTTAATCTTAGAGAAACGTGGATATTGTTGTGGATTATTGTCTTTGACTAAAACTATAGGTTTAAATATTTGCTGCCCTTTAAAAATGTGTGAGCATTTGTGAGTCTATGGAGTTCAATAAAAATTTATGTCAAATTCAAGTGATCCTTTCACTGGAAGAGTTCATATATCTATGTATAATCTATGTCTCTTCTATCCCCATGTCTAATCTATGACCAGATCTTTGTCTAGTCTATTTATATGTCTAGTCTGTTTGTCTAGTTGTCTTGGTCTATTGTAACAGTGTATACGAATGCAGACAGATTGTAAAAATATATATACAGCTTTAATGGGGAAATAGACTTACAGAACCACCGTTCCCGCGGAGACCAGGAAAGCAGAAGCAACGGCTGGGAGCATGCTCACCAAATTTATAGGCAAACATTAGCCCGAGGCGAACACGTCCCCTTAGCGGCAGGACTTATCCCTACATCTCCCCTTTTTGTCTAAATAAGACAGAACTAAACCAAATACAACTAAATACAATAATAACAAATAATAAATATAATAAACAATATTGAGAACAAAAGTTTTGCTAAACATTCTATCTCAAGGAGTCTAAATAATGTAGAGAGTAACTACAATTATATAATCTTCAACTCCGTCAAAGATCTGAGAAGGGAATAAATATTACTTAACAAACGAGATATATCCAAAATGTGCAACAATTGACAGAGACTATTGACTACCTGGGCAATCACCCAAAGTCTCGTTTGCAATGTTGAATCAACCAACTTTGGCTAAGGCATAACATAACTGACATACCATTATTAAAGGCAAGGAACTTTTCAAAACTATCTTACCCTGTCTTGGCAGGATATGACAGTCCTGTTTTATCCATTGATGCACACTCTGTATCTCTGTCAGTGGTTGAGGTATGGGCATTTCTTTGCCCAAAGGCCAGTTCTGCCAAATAGAAAGGCTCCAGGTGGAGTGTCTTTGGTGCTCAACATTCTCTCGGGAATAGAGTGGTGTTGCCAGGAGCAATTGTGTCTCCCTATCACGAAACTCTGCGTTAGATTAAAGGCCATTTTCTACAGCTCTTTGAAGAGGTTGAAGATTATCTATCTATACTAAGTATAATCTCTATATATCTAGAGAACCTGATTAGTCTAATTATAAATGACAAACTTAGATGATTATTAATCTATACAATTCTCAATATCTATCTAACTTAAAGACTAAGACAATAAACAACTGTGTAACAAATGAGGATAATGACCTCCAAATATAAACACTGTACAAATATACATTGCAATATGGTAAATATATATCAATACACAAACATTATAAGTATCTTAATCAGAGGTAGAAATGTACACTGCAATATGGTAAATATATCATATATATATATATCAATACAATATATGTCAATACATAAAAAATGTTTTAAACAGAGATAGAAACATGCATGCATACAATAGTCAATATAATTTAACTTTGTATCAATATACAAGAATCGATACCAATATATTTGTCTAAAAGCAGTAAAACTCACAATTATAAATCTATTATCCCACCATTCCCCCCCCTTTTTTTTCAAAATGATCCCTGAGCTTATAAAATTCCTCCCCCAACCTCCCAACCCCTAAATGATGTCCCTAAACCCAGGGGCAAACTTTACTGGGAGAGGGGATGTCATCCTCTAGAATTACTTCCAGCTGTCATGGGGGTGATGTTCTTTATGGGGGATTCTGTGAAAGTAAAATGATGGTTAAATTTCAAGATCAATGTCTTTTAAAATTGAAAATAGTCTCTGAGTATTTTGTGGAGGTCTGGCCAGAATATTGTGCAAGATGTGCACTATTTCAGCTAACCAAGTTGGGATCATCTTGTGCAGCTGGTATCCAAAACAGGACTTGTAGTAGTGCTATCAGTATCATGACGTCATCATCAACCAGGTAGAGTTGTTGTTGTGGGGTCCCATCTTCTTCCTGGAAACTTCAAATGTCACTTCAGGAAAAACTCATTGTTCATTGTGAAAAACTTAAACATTAATCATATAGACATATATAGACATATATATATATATTCAATGAAAGGCATGATAGATGTATTCAATGAAAAGTCTGATAGATATGAAGAAAATCAAAGATGTTTTCTAAACTCATATTTCTTTCTGTCCCATATCATGGCTCTTGACATGAGACAGAAACTCCAGAAACTCTGGGTTTTTCTCTTACTAACAGGCTTGGAATTGGAGAGGGACTGAGCCAGAGTCGAACTTCAAAACCAGCTCTACATATTTATAAAGAAATGTTTAATAAGACATATATATATATATATATATATATATATATATAATTAATTCTTACAAAATGTGCCCATCCATCAGTAATTAAATATTCAGGGTCCCTCAATTTCTTTGAAGATGAGTATTTTCCTGTGGAGATAAGAAAAGAACCCTGCCTCCAACCTATCTGTATTTCTTACCATCAGTATGCTCGCCATCCTTATGAAAGAATTGTTATGTATCTTTTCCAAGTGGCTTCTCTTCTTCAAACCGAACCTTTATTAATTTTGACAGTATCCACAATTTTTCCTCACCTGTGGAGATAAGAGCAAACCCCCTTCCTCAACGTAGCACATCTCCTGGCTTCCATTGTGAGGTCAGCACATCCTTGAAATAAACTGGTTGATTTAGTTCAGTAGACTTTTCCATTATCCAATGTCTTTCTGCAGCCATTGTTCCCTTTTCATTAGCATTAAGAAAATTCAAGGTTAACAAAGCATTATGTAACCTATTTCTGGGGGTGTTTTCCACCCCTTTCTGTTTGTTCAACATATCCTTTATAGTTCGATTTGATCTTTCTATGACTGCTTGACCTGTAGGATTGTATGGTATACCTGTAACATGCTTGATATTGTAATAATCAAAAATCTGTTTCATTTTTCTAGAGACATAAGCAGGACCATTATCCGTCTTTATTTGTGTAGGTATACCCATGATAGCCATGACTTCTAATAAATGAGTGATTACTGAATCAGCTTTTTCTGAACTTAAAGCAGTTGCCCACTGAAAGCCTGAATAAGTGTCAAGGGTGTGATGAACATATTTTAATTTGCCAAATTCTGCAAACTGGAACACATCCATCTGCCAGATTTCATTCCTTTGGGTGCCCATTGGATTAGTCCCTGAAGGCAGTGGCGTTTGGTTATAGAAAGAGCAAGTAGGGCATTTCTTTACAATCTCCTTAGCTGTTGCCATGTAATTGAAAACTCTTTCTTCAAACCTTTGTTATTAACATGATGTTTTTTATGAAATTCAGAGGCTTGTAGCACACTACCAATCAATAATTGATCAACTTTTGCATTATCTTGTGCTAGAGGACCTGGCAGACCCGTATGGGATCGGATGTGTGTTATGTACATAGGGCAAAGCCTGTTCCTGATCAAATCTTGAACCTGGAGAAACAATGAGGTTAGTTCTGTATCCCCAGGTATAAATTCAGCAGTTTCAATATGTAAAATAACTCTTTCTGTGTATTGTGAATCTGTAACTATATTAATAGGTTCTTTAAAATCCCTTACCACCATAAGGATGGCATATAATTCCACCTTCTGGACAGAATTATAAGGACTTTGATCCACCTTACCCAAGTCTTCTGATTTGTAACCTGCCTTCCCTGATTTATTGGCATCAGTATAGAATAAACAGGCTCCAGTTATTGGAGCATCACGGACGATTCGAGGAAGAATCCAAGAAGTTCTCTTTATGAAGTTAAGCCTCTTGCTTTTTGAATAGTTGTTATTAATGTCTCCCAAAAAATTAGCACAAGCTCTTTGCCATGGTTCATTATCTTCCCAAAATTTCTTTAGTTCATCAGCAGTGAAAGACACTATAATTTCTGCTGGGTCTATGCCTGCTAGTTGACAAAGTCTCAGCTTGCCTTTTTTAATTAATTCAGAGACTTTTTCCACATAAGTTTTCAGTTTCTTACTTGGTTTATGTGGTAAAAAGATCCATTCCAAAATAATATCATCTCTCTGCATTAAAATTCCTGTAGGAGAAATTTTTGATGCTAGTATGATGAGAGTACAATCGAGCTCTGGATTCACCCTGTCCACATGTGCCTGTTGTAATTTTTCCTCAATCATTGTCAGTTCCTTTTCTGCTTCAGCTGTTAATTCTCTGGGACTGTTTAAATCTTTATCACCATCCAAGGTTTTGTTCAAATGAATTATTAGATCAGGTGTTATTCCAATAGCTGGTCATAGACTGGAAATATCTCCTAACAGTTTTTGAAAGTCATTAAGAGTCCATAGGCGATCTCTCCTAATTTGTGCCTTTTGTGTCTTGATTTTTTGCAAACCTATTTTATAACCTAAATAATTAACAGAATCTCCCTTCTGAATCTTTTCAGGAGCGATTTGCAATCCCCATTTAGGTAAAAGTATCTTTATTTCTTCAAACAGTCTGTTCAAGGTATCCATGTTTGAATTGGATAACAAAATGTCGTCCATGTAATGGTATACTATAGATTTGGGAAATTTCTTGCGTATTATTTGCAATGGTTGGTTCACAAAATATTGGCACAGGGAGGGGTTATTTAACATACCCTGGGGGAGAACGGTCCAGTTGTACCTCCTCGAAGGTTGAGAATTGTTATAAGTAGGCACTGTGAAGGCAAATTTTTCTCTATCTTCTTTTTGCAAAGGTATAGTGAAAAAGCAATCCTTTAAATCAATTACAATGAGAGGCCATCCTTTTGGTAATAAAGAGGGCAAAGGAATTACAGATTGCAGAGGGCCCATAGGTTGAATAACCTTGTTGATGGCCCTGAGATCTGTCACCATTCTCCATTTACCTGATTTTTTCTTAACCACAAATACAGGAGAATTCCAAGGGTTGGTAGATTCTTCTATATGTCCAGCATCTAATTGTTCTTGTACCAGCTGTTCTAAAGCCTGTAACTTTTCCTCAGCTAAAGGCCATTGCTTTGTCCATATTGGTTTCTCAGTCAACCATTTTAGAGGCAAGGCTGTTGGTATCTCTGAAGGGACATCAATTGCTTGTTCTTGAACAGCCCGAATGGCTGGTTTTCTCCGTTTGTAATATCTTTTAATATTATTCTCAGAAATATAGGCTCTAGATTTAGCAGGAATGTTAATTTCAGTATTCTATTGTTGTAATAGGTCACGACCCCATAAATTTATTGCAATATTGGCTACATATGGCCTTAATTTTCCTATTTGTCCCTCCGGCCCTATACATTCAACCCATCTCGTGCTCTGCCTTACTCGAGATAGGGTTCCAATTCCCAGGAGCAGAACGTTTACATTCTGAAGAGGCCAATACGGATACTATGATTCTGGGGTAATGATACTTACATCAGCACCTGTGTCCAGCAGGCCAGTAATAAAATTGCCATTTACACACACTCCAAGTTTAAGTCTTTGATCATTTATTGAAGTTTGCCAAAACACATGTAACTTATCTTTCTGATCATTATTGCTTGTAACAGTAGGCATGGGGCTTCCTAATTGTCCTGACAAGGCACGTTCACTGCAGAAACTGGAAATGACTGAACCATGTTTGCCATGGGGGCCTGTGAGGCCCCCCCTCTCACGTTTCCCGTCTGTATCAGGTTGCCTTGTCTATCTCTTGTAGACCTGCATTCATTTGTCCAATGTCTGCCTTTTCCACATCTTCTACATAAACCTGAAGGCTGAGTCCTCCTATTTCTGTTATTTCTAGAAGATGCATTATTATTATTATTTCTGAAAGATGCACTGTTATTATTATTATTATTATTATTATTATTATTATTATCTCTGAAACTCCGTTGTCTACAATTCCTTTTCATATGACCCATTTTGCCACAATTAAAACATTTGTTATTCTGGTGTCTCCTTTTACCATTGGAAATTGCTTCTTCTACCCATGCTTTAGTGCCATAATCAAATGTATCAACATTGAGTGTATGCAAGACCCATTCTTCCAAGGGCGCTGATCTGAGCTTTAAAGGACCCCAAAATCCTTTTGCATTCCACATTTGCATTTTCATAAGCCAAAGACTCAATCATTATACGTCTTGCTTCTGGGTCAGATATCCCTATTTGTACAGCCTTAGTTAATCTTTGTAAAAAGTCACTAAAGGGTTCTCTCTGACCCTGTTTAACTCTGACAAATGATTCCATTCTCTGTCCTGGGTCTTGTACCCTGTCCCAAGCCCTTAAGGCTGCTGTAGTACACATGGAGAGTGTGTTTTCATCCAAATTAGCTTGTTCCTGAGGGTTGGAAAACAGCCCTTCACCTAGAATTTTATCTAGGGAAATGTCAATTCCCTTTGCTTTTTCCTGCTGTTCTAAAAGTCTAGCCTCTTGCCTGAATAAGCATTTCCATTTCAATTGCTGTCCACTCTCAAGTACTGCAGAGCTCAGCTGGAGCCAGTCAGAGGGGGTTGCTCTGCTTGTCGTGACCCAAGATCTTAGCATCTCTTTAACAAAGAGGCTTGCATCCCAAAAGTCATAACAGCCTGTTTAATTTCCTTGAGGTCATTCATATGGACAGGCTCCCATGTATCCTCCTTGATGACCCTAGGGTTTCTGGAACCAATCGCCTTCTCTGTTGTTATTACTGGAAAGGCAGGTAGAGCTGTAGGTAATTCTTTGTGGAAATTGTCCCGGAGAGATTTACCCACAGATGTAGTTAAAATTTCCCCTTCTACCCTTTGCTCTTCTTCATCAGAATTTAGAAATTCCTCAATCTTTTCAATTCTATTCACCATTGCCTTCTGCAATGTCTGAATCTCCTGTCCAGAATTATGTTCCAAAGCCTTCATTGAAGATTCTAAAGTATGAAGTTTGTCCATTAGAGATAACATCTCATCTTTGGACATAATTTTTATGGCATAAACCATGCCTTCTTGTATTGACAATCTTTCCGCCAATCTGTCATAAGCTTTATACAAAATTTGGTTGTCACATTCAGCAGTTTTGATTCTCTCAGTTAATGTTTCATTTCCTACAGAAAGGGACTGAATCTTATGGTCCAAATCAGCTGTTCCCTCTTCCATAGTAATGAATTTCTCCTTAATATCAGCCACTAATGTTTTAGTTCCTACAGAAAGGGACTAAAGCTTACGATCCAAATGAGCTGTTCCCTCTTCCATAGTAATGAATTTCTCATTAACATCCGCCTGGAGAATTTCAAACTGATTCTTGAGAAGATTGTTGTCATTCTCAATTGTTTTTAAGCGTTCAATCTCTGCCTTAAGAATCCTGGATTCGTCTCGTAAAGACTTTATCATATTTCTATTATCGAACCATTTAGTGCCAATGAAAACTACAAATCCCAGAAGGATCCATAGATGTGGGGTGATAGACACCTCTTGTAAAATCTCCCACATGGTACAATTAAAAAACTGTTAAATTCTTGAATAGTAACGTGTTCAGACATTTTATTTATAAAAGAAAAATTTTTTACCTGCAGTGATCGGTTCCTGCCAGTGGTGGTCTCTGTGTTTTTGGAGCCTGTCCTAGAACTAGCTCTTGTAGACCAGGATGGCCTCGAACTCACAGAGATCCGCCTGTCTCTGCCTCCCGAGTGCTGGTATTAAAGGCGTGCACCACCGCCTGGCCGGCCTTGAACTCACAGAGATCCAACTGCCTCTGCCTCCCAAGTGCTGGGATTAAAGGCGTGTGCTACCACCTCCTGGCCGGCCTCGAACTCACAGAGATCCGCCTGCCTCTGCCTCCCAAGTGCTGAGATCAAAGGCGTGGGCCACCACCACCCGGGCAAGTCACTTTGTATCAGACCAAATCTGCTGCTGTGGTGGCTTTTGTTGCAAAACCGCAGGTACTTGAGATTCTGCTAATTCAGGCAGTGGGGTTCGGCTGCAAACTTAGCCAAGGTAGGCAGAATGGGCCTGTGTGGCTGAGTGGTTCTTGGACTCAGCACAGGGGCCCAAGTCAGGAACTAAAAAACAGCACCCGGGAGCGTGCTGTGTTAGCTAGCTGGCTATGCGCTTGAGTAGGGGGCAAAATAGCCCACGTTGGATGCCAAAATGTAACGGCATAAACGAATGCAGACAGATTGTAAAAATATATATACAGCTTTAATGGAGAAATAGACTTACAGAACCACCGTTCCCGCGGAGACCAGGAAAGCAGAAGCAGCACCTGGGAGCACGCTTGCTAAATTTATAGGCAAACATTAGCCTGGGGCGAACACGCCCCCTTAGGGGCGGGACTTATCCCTACAGTCTATGTCTAGGCTATGTCAACTCTGTCTGTGTCTATGTATTATATATGTGTAAGTGTATATGTATGTATAGCACCAATATAAGCATACACATGTATACAATGATCTGTGAAACAGAGATTGCTGAAATACTGTGATTGTGTATATAATAGAAAAGAATAAGCTAGTGGATGGGAGGGGCAATAAAAGGAAGAAGTTCTTAGATTCTGCCCCCCCTCCACATTCTCACTCTCTGAAAGATGGTCCTTGTATTCATGGCCCACCTTCTTTGTAGGTTACAACTACGATTCCCACAACGACCCCGCAGACTTCTTCCTGGAAATCATTAATGGACATCATTTCTCTGCTCTATTAGACACAGAGGAAGATGGCCATGGATGTACGTGAGTCTTCTAGAGTCACAGATTTTTAACTAATTGATTTCATTAAAACACAACTATTGCCTCAGGGATCAGCTTCTAGGTAGCTCGGGATTAAGAGGGAAGCCACAGGGCTGGTGAAGATAAGACCTTTTCTATCTAAGGGGTTAGGAAGAAAGACACTCACACATTCTGTTGATCATATCCTTCTTTATTCATCAGCCTCTTCTGATGGACTGACTGGGTTGAATCTGTTTGTGTGGTCACAGCTGTACAAATGTGTGTTTATCAATTGTTACATAAAGTATTTCCTCATTCCAACGTCCCCAAACTTAATCTGCATGTCTTTTTGAAGAGAGCATCAAGTGCCTTCAGACTCTATACTTTCGTCAAGCATTGTGTGCAATACAGAAATAATACAAGTGCCCAGCTGTGCATGAGGTATCCTGTGACCAAGGTCATGGGTGCCCACAAGGCCCCCTCAGTCAAACAATCATTGTCCTTCACATGGATTCTTCAAGGTCAAAGTACTTCCAAGAAACAGCTGTTTATCCTAATCTCTGTCCCATACATTGATTTTCCTAATTTCCTATGCATACAGGTGACATGTTTTTTATCCCCCTTATAGGATTAAAAGTAAAGTTATCCCAGTATGCCATATACATTTATGTCTAAGTAACGTATTGCAGATCAACAGAGCCTAAGCAGAGAGAAAACATCTCTTCACAGACAACTCCCTCGCTGGTTAGCATGGTGTATACTGTGCCTACAGAGAGAATCAGTAATTCTACTGTATATCTGTAAAGGTAGTCTTACAAGGAATGCTAAAGGAATCACAAACTGAAGCTTTGTACATAAAAGACAATCTGTCGGCTGTACTTAGATACTCAGGGTATATACCCATCTATTACTAGTTTCTTGTATCAGGAAAATGGGATGGCCACATGGACACCAAGACCTGTGTCTGTATCTGGTAAGTAAAAATACTAAAAAAGAGACAGCTCCGCCAATGCAAGAAATCCAATTAGGTCAAATCAAACCAAATCAAAATGCCCATTGTTTTATTAAGAATGATGCTCTTGGGTGGCCGAGAATCTGGAGGGGATACAGGATAGCAGGGAGCCCATGTAGATCTGAAAACCATGTGTTCCTCTTCTGGGAGCACACTTAAATACCCTGTGGGAGTGGTCCTGATCATCCCCAGGGAGGGTTCATGACGTGGCATGCTGGGATTTGGAGTCCAGACCCAAGCAACTCTCAGGACACGTTGGCTCAGATGGATGACAGGGTGCTGGGGGACTATGCTCCCAACTTCAAAATATCTGTTAAACATGAAGAGAATTAGTTCCAGCCTGGCTCCTAAAGAATTCAATTGTTCTTTAATGTTTAAGCGGAACTGTTATCTAAAGCTGTTTCTAAGGTGGAACTCAAAGGTCTTGGCTGAAAAGCATTTTTTATATATACTTTTATTTTATCAAAGTTCTATATATTATTACCATTTAGAAGGTACAGCTTAGGGAGTAAGTCATCTTCATAATAACTCAAAGATAAAATTTCCCAGAAGATCATGATGTTTCCAAGGAGAAAATCATTACCTTACAAGCAGTGGGGGATTTCCCCACACCCAATTCAACCATGCTAGATGTCAGGAAAAGACAGCAACAGCAAGAGAGCAAGCAGGCAAAGGGAAAGCAGAAGCAAAAGAAATCCTGGGATCTATGATCTCAGAAGTCCTTGCCTAACTGAGATGATCAAGGGATTTCCTCCTGGTGGGCCAACTCCTGGAACCTCAATCAACACCTGCTGCTCCTCTGACATGGTCTCTGGCATCATGGCCTCTGGTACCCAACCACATGTCTCATTAGAAATAGGTCTTATGTATATTCAGTGTCTAAAATTAACAGGCTTTGCTATCTCTTATTGCTGGTATTTTCAACTTAATTTACAAAATAACATTTATATGATATTGTCACAAGGGAAATTTCTGCTTAGAAGTAAATGTAACCATTGTTTGTCATACTATTCTTATTATTGTTTTAGAATGGTTTGCTTACGTAGCGAGCCTGGCCTTAAATGTGTGCTCTTTCTACATCACCCCCCAGTGTAAATATTACAGGACACTGTCACCATGCCTGATTTTGTTTATTTTAAAGATCTAATACTTGGCAGTTTATACATTTGCATAGACATTCATGTTGCGAGGAGGGGCCCCTTCTTCTGGGCCATCAGGCTAGCTTAGAAACAAAATAACCACACAGAATCTGTATTAATTAAATCACTGTTTGGCCCTTTAGCTCTAGTTTCTTATTGGCTAACTCCTACATCTTAATTTAAGCCACTTCTTTTAATAACTATATCACCAGGAGGTTGTGCCCTCCAGCAAAGTTTCAATACATCTACCTCTGGCCATTGATCCATGGCATCTTTCTGACTCTGCCTTCTTCCTCCCAGAATTCAGTCCCACCTTCCCTGCCTGCCTAAGTTCTGCCCTATCAACAGACCATGGCAGTTTCTTTATTCATTAACCAATGAAAGCAACACATAGCCAGGCAGACCTCCCACACCACATTCACATAAGGCAGAAAACAGGGACCAGATGGTTGTTTTAAGTAGTATATATTCGTAAGGGAAGGAGGAATTTGTTAATACTTAGAGATGAGAAAATGTCATTTGGCTTGCTGTGTCCATAGGGTAATGGGCGAGTCAGGTCAGTTAGGGACATTTTTCTAATCTGAAATTACACTGGAGTAATTTTATTATGATCCAAGTTTGGTAGGCTGAAGATGTAGCTCAGCTAGAATGCTTGCCTAGCATGCACAAAGCCATGAGTTTAGTTCCAGCACATAACTGTGTGTGAAGGTGCATGCCTGCAATCAGCACTTGAGGCAGAGACAGGAGGACCTGGAGAAGTTAAAGATCACCTTTGGCTTCATAGCTGCTTTGAGGTCAGTCTAGGGTACATGAGAGGGTCCCAAAGAAAAACTGACATATAATTTATGTCTTAGTCATGAGTACTGTCTCAGAAAAATCAGTTAAATTATTGTCTAAATGTTTCTTACCTTTATCCATTTTTATCCCCAAAGCTGATGAACATAAAGAGCTTTCTGAGAGACAGCACCAAGTCACAGAAGAATTAGCCAATATATATGCCCAGTCCTCCTTATACAGTGAAATGAGAACTGAACTGGATCCACTCTTGGGGGAACAGAATGCAGGGAGGAGCTCAGCCTTGGAGGAGATCATGTGGGTCACCCCTTTCTGGCATCAATTCTGGTGGATTATCTGTCGATCATTTAAAAACATCAAGGATTTTCGAAGGATGATTATAATTAAGGTAATCTGATGAGTTATTTTAATTGTATTGTGAAAAACTCACATAGGAGCAATTTGTTTCTGAGTCAGTCTACTGCAGGGCCACACTTATCTTCTCCTCTTTCCATGTGTCATCTCCACTCTGCCTGGCATAGAGAAATATTCAATAGAGCAAGTATACTACGATTAACGTTTTACTTACAGAAAAAGTTTCTGGTTGTTTTTTATTCATAGAAGCTATAATGACTAACCAAATTAGGAAATTTAATTCAGGGAGTGCAAGGAGTCCAGCACACCTGGGAGCCCCTCAGACCTGTCTGCTTTATTTCATCAGGGCATCCTACAAGTTCAAAATAATGAAGAATGTGAAGAATACTTTCTACTCCTATTTGTAATTTTCCCCTGTTTTCTTTTTGAAAGGCATTTATCATATTCATACTGCCTGTGTATATGCGTATCATTTTACATGTCCAAAGAAATGACTGTTCTGAAGTCCACACCAGGTAAGCAAATGAGAAAATGCTGTCACTTTGTTCAAAGCTATATAAATCCGTGAAAAATTTAAATTCATTACAAAAACAGAGTAAACATTTTACTATGTGATAGAGTGTGTTTGAAGACTGAGTGAAAAACTCACTTTTTCACATACATTTGTGTGTAGATAGGAAACTCCACACACCACACATCCCATTTTGCCTGTTTTAGTGTATGGGGTGTTTTCATGTTAGTTGTGTAGACAGTATGAAACCCCACACACAACACATCACATTTTATATGTTTTAGTGTATGTAGCCAAGCTGCTGAGTGTGCGAGAACATCTCTTTGAATGCTGAAGGTTTGCTCTTTAGATAGAAAGCTAGAGCTGTCAAATCATAGCCCACTGTGTTAACTGTTTGAGGAGCTGCTGTCCTGTCTCCAACTCCACTGTACTCTTTTATATCCTCACCAGCACAACATAAGGGCTGCAATATATGCGCATGCTCACCAAAACTTATGTTCTTTCTTGTTTAGAATAAGCTATTTAAGAAAAAATAAATTATCATTCCTTGGATGTCTTATGAAATGACTCCATTGCTGTTCTTCCCCCATCTCCCTCATCTTGTACTGTCTAGTTCTCACCCTCCCACTCCTTGTTCCCTTTTTCTCCCTTTCTGACTTCCCTTCTCCCCCCACACTCAAGCTCCCAATTTTCTTAGGAGATCTTGTCTCCCAATTTTACCTTCCCAGGAGGATCATCTATATTTCCCTTAGGGATCCCCTTGTTATTTAGCTTCTCTTGGGTTATGGACTTTAGGCTCCTTATTCTTGGCTTTACAGTTAATATTTACCTATGAGTGGATACATACAATGCTCTTTTTTCTGGGTCTGCTTTACCTCACTCAGGATGGTTTCTTCTAGTTCCATATATTTGCATGCAAATTTCAAGATGTCATTGCTTTTTACTGCTGAGTAGTACTCCATTGTTTAAATGTACCACATTTTCTTTATCTGTTCTTTGGTTGAGAAGCATCTAGATTAATTCCAGGTTCTGGTTATTACAAATAATGCTGCTAAAAGCATAGTTGAACAAGTGTTCTTGTGATATGGTTGAGCAGCCTTTGGGGGCAAAAAATACTCAATACAATAAAGACAAATTATATCCCCAAGAACATGAAAAACATCATTCACCGTGATCAACTTGTCTTTATTCCAGAGATGAAGGAATGTTTCAACATACAAAAATCTATCAATGTAATCCACTATAAACTGAAAGAAAAAATCTATACAATCTTCTCATTAGATTCTGAAAAAGCAATTGACAAAATCCAACATTCCTTCATGATAAAGGTCTTGGAGAGAGCAGAGATACAAGGAGCTTATTTAAACATAATAAAAGCTATATGTTGCAAGCTGACACCCGATATCAAATTAAATGCAGGGAAACTCAAAGCGATTTCACCAAAATCAGAAACAAGACAAGGCTGTTCACTATCTCCATATATATTCAACATAATTCTTGAAGCTCTAGCTAGAGTAATAAGACAATAAAAGGAGATCAAGGAAATACAAATTGGAAAGGACAAAGTCAAGCTTTCGCTATTCACAGATGATACAATAGTACACATAAGTGACCCCAAAAATTCTACCAGGGAACCCCTACAGCTCATAAACACCTCAGCAATGTGATAAGATACAAGATCAACTAAAAAAAAAATCAGTAGCCCTCTTATAAACAAATGATAAAGAAGCTCAGAAAGAAATCAGAGAAACATCACCAATCACAATAGCCACAATTAACATAAAAATCTTGGGGTAACACAAATCAAACAAGTGAAAACCTATTTGACAAAAACTTTAAGTCTTTGAAGAAAGAGATTGAAGAAGATATCAGAAAATGGAAAGATCTACTATGCTCTTGGATAGGTAGGATCAACGTAATAATAATGGCAATTCTATCGAAAGCTGTCTACAGATTCAGTGCAATCCTCATCAAAATCCCAACACAATTATTCACAGGCCTTGAAAGAACAACACTCAACTTCATATGGAAAAACAAAAAACCCATTATAACCAACAATTCTGTACAATAAAGGAACGTCTGGAGGCATCACCATCCCTGACTTCAAACTCTATTATAGAGCTACAATAATGAAAACAGCTTGGTATTGGCTTAAAAAACAAACAGATTGACTAATGGTATCAAATTAAAGATCCATATGCTAATCCACACACCTATGAATACATGATTTTTCATAAAGAAGCTAAAATTATACAGTGGAAAAGAAAATATTTAAAACTTTTTAATGACTACAGCATGTTCCAAACATAGTTTCTTATGAGGATCACAATTTTCAAAATTTTCACTGTAATTAATGTGTGACATACCAGTTTGCTCAATTGGGCTCCCTTCTTGACACCCACAGCCTCAGGGTAACTCCCAGTGGCCAGAGAGGCTTACCATAGAAGCTCTGCTGACTTGGTGTTTGTGTGTGTGCCTGTGTGTAGTGTTATATACAGATTTGTGTCAGATGGACTCGTGTTTATGTGGGTATATACACATGAGCATGTTGGTGAGTATGTATGTGTCTATGTTGGTGAGTATGCATGTGTCTGCATGTGGCGATCAGAGATTGATACCATTTTTTCCTTGATTTCCCTCCTCTTCCTTTTCATGGCAGGTCCCTCAATGGATCCAGAGCTCATTGACTTGGCTGGTCTGGATAATGAGTGTAGTAAAAGGAGCAGCATGCTGTGTTCCCGGCACCTGGCTGCCCAGCTAGTTTTACACCCAAAATAATTACATGGAAACTGTATTCATTGAAAGACTGCCTGATCCATTATCTCCAAACTCTTACTGACTAACTCTCAAATCTTGATTAACCCATATCTAGCAATCTGTGTGTCACCACGGGGTTGTGGCTTACTGGGAAGATTGCAACCTACATCCATCTTTGGCCAGAACTTCATGGTGTCTGCCTGACTCTGATTTTTTCTCCCAGCATTCTGTTCTGTTTACTCTGCCTATCTAAGCTGCTGTCCTATCAAAAGCCAAGACAGTCTCTTTATTTGACCAATTAAAGTAACACATAGACAGAAGACCAACCTACATCATTTCCCCTTTTTCTGTTTAAACCAAAAAGAAAGGCTTTCACTTTAACGTAGTAAAATTATATATAACAAAACAGTTATCAAGCAAGAATTACAGTTACAATATTTATATATACTTTATCTTTTTTCATAACTAAGGAGAACTATAACTAACCATTCTTCAACTCCAGAAGGATATAATATTACTCAAGTAAACAATTTCCAAAACTCCAGAAATGACAGAGACATCTTGCTGTCTATACCGTCACCCAAAGTTCTTCTGTACCATTGGGGCACCTATCTTCAGCCTACAGGCCCATAGTATCCAGCAGATATTTCCATGAAGCTGGAAAATTCAAAGACAGTTCAGTCACTATCTGCTGTGTCCTACAGAATGTCTCACAGACTCTTTCAGGAACCCCGAAGGATTATCTCACCTTAGGCAAGTTTAGCAGTCCTCTCTCTGCGAGTTCTTTGTGTCCAGTTTATGCAACAGTCCAGGCAAGAGCAGTTTCTTGACCAAATGGCTAACAAACTCCATAAGGAGCCTCTTCAATGCCCATCTTCCTCTTGAAATAGCTGGTGCTGCCAGGAGCAGACATGTCTCATCGTCATGAAAAGTCCTAAGTTGTTAGAACATTAAATGCCATATTCTGTAGTCTTTGAAAGATATGAAGAATGCCTATTTAACTGAAATATATCTCTACATATCTAGAAAATCTCTTTAACATGACTACAAGCGTGACTATTATCGATGATTATCCATTAGCAACCTATGTTTCCTAATTATACATTACATTTTTAAAATGAACTACACAATCACAATACCTTAATCAAGACCAGAGATACATATACAGATAACAAAATTGACCTTAAAATCCATACCAGTGCAAATTATTCATATCTATATCATATGCCCCTTTAAATGTAAAAGAACATTTATAAACATTATCTGGGAATATGGATGTAGTTATTTCTCTCTAAACTTCTTCCTGCTGTATAGGGGCACTGTTAATCAGGTCTTTCATGGTATAATCTGTGTGCTAGGTACATATGAAGTAATATTTTGAGGGTGTTCACAGCAACCTTTCAGGAGGGTGTGGTCTATCATACCATAGTGGGATAGAAACTATCCACAGGGTCTCATCCTCTGTGAAAACAAAAGAAGAACCTCCTTTCCAAAACATCATGTCCTTAAACCCAAATTCTGCAGTCATAATACTTTTATAATAATATACATGATGGTTTAGCCTAGCAGCCCATACAACGAAATATCTCTCTGTACTTAGCACCTACATAGTCAAAAAATTCTAAGAAAATACAATATACAGAATCCAAACTCTCTGTGAATTTTCCATTTTTATGTGGCTTATTTTTCTTTATTTCTTTTAATCTATAACTATCTGTACTCTGTCTCTTTAAAGACTTTACCCTTTTTTAAGGTATTAACTTTATTCTCTATATTCTTTTTCTTCTCTCTCCCAAGCCTATGTATGTCTAAAACAATGACCTGTTTAGAGGTCTTTTATATCTGAATCTGTTCTATTGCATTGTCTGTTTTTGCTTTATGCTTTGAAATCACTAAGTGCTTAAGAATCTAAGCTGTGACATTCCTAGGTCAAAAACAGGTACTGAGGGCTTGACCCGCCCAGTCCAACATGGCGGAGCCGCTTGTGGCTCTGAATCAGTTGTAACACTGAATCAGTTGCACATCTGAGCTGCAGAGAAGCAGGCTGTTCTGGATGTTGGCTCCACCTCTCTCCAATTTAAAAATGGGGGGGGGCATACCATTTTCTACTAGCTCTGGGGCCGCCAGGTAGGAGCCCCACTCAGCACTTTAACTCTGAGACTGAACATGCAGCACAGAAACTCTATCTGAGTTACAGCCAAATTGGCCACGCAGAGCACTGCCCAGCCTGGAAACATCTCTCTTTATGGTGGCAGAAATCCACCATGCTCTCCCGCTTGTGCACGTCTAGTAAACCTGATCCCGCTGCCTGCCCAGGTGCAGGTGGGGAGAGGTGAGCATTGGCATGGTCTCAGCGTACTTTCTTCCTAAGCCTCAGCAGGCACACAAACAACCAGGCCCAGAAATGTTCCATAGCATGAGTGTGCACTGGCAGCATAGCCAAGGAATCTGCATTTTAATATGGCGCAGCTTTTTTTCTTGCTCAGGCTGCTGACTCAGGAAAATTTCTCTGCAGCACACCCTAGCAAACAGCAAAAAGCTGTGTTAAACTCTATATTTGTGTCTAGAATTCCTTTTAAAGCCCTCTCAGGTTTTAAGTGGCATTAGTTACCATGTTGGGCAGCCACGCTGTAGTAAAAAGAGTTGTGGGTTGTATTCCCAGCACCCTGTCACCCAGAAAGTTTTACATCCAAAATAATTACATGGAAACTGTTTTCATCTAAAGACTGCCTGGCCCATTATCTCCAGCCTCTTACTGGTTTACTCTCACATCTTGATTAACTCATATCTAGCAATCTGTGGATCACCACGGGGTTGTGGCTTACTGGCTAGATTCTAACCTATGTCCATCTTGGGCCAGAGCTTCATGGCATCTGCCTGACTCTGCTTCTTCCTCCCAGCATTCTGTTCTATCTACTCTGCCTATCTAAGCTGCTGTCCTATCAAAAGCCAAGGCAGTCTCTTTATTTGACCAATTAAAGTAACACATAGACGGAAAACCCACCTACATCAGATGAGCTCCAAGTGTCCACCACTGTACCCTTCATGCTTGGGGTTACAGATGAGAAGCACTGTGCTGGGGAATTTTCCATGTGTTCTAGGCATTTGAACTGAGGTCCTCATGGCTGCATGGCAGACACTTTGCTGACTGGGCCAACATTGTAGCCCCACAAAATGTTTTGATGTGTGGAAAACACTGATTGATTTTCAAGGAAAGAATAAACATAAAAATCAGTTCTATGAATTGTCTTCTGTGTGAACTAGAAGTTAGTCTGCAGTGAGATGTCTGTCTGTTTCCAGTCTGTCCTCTTCACCTTCCCTGAAGAACAAGATCTGAATGCTTTCCAGACCTGCTAGTACCTGGTTTGTGCTTGTGTAGAGGACACATCTTAACCCAGAACAGCAAGACAACAAGATAGGTGGTGTAGACACTGTCACAGGAAGCATTCAGATATGAACTCTGTAAAACTTGATGTGGAAATATTCTTGGAAAATGCAGACATAAAGGAGAACTTTATTAACTGTTCCTTCATATTCTCTAGAAATTGTGAAATGCTCTTAATTATTATTTTTCTATTCCCCTCTTCCAGTATTGTATAAGATCTAGACTCTGTGACAATGGCCTTTGTGTGTGATTAATCTTAGTCATCCTGATAAGTGATTGATTCTTTTGGTTTGTGTGCCAGTTAGTTTATTGCCAACTTGGTCCAGCCCGAGTCATGTGGGAAGAAGGAATCTTGATTAAGAAATATATCTATCGGGTTGACTTGTAAGCAAGTCTGTGCGACATTTTCTTGATTAATACTGGATGTGGGAGGGGCCAGTCCACTGGGAAGAGTGCCACTTCTGGGCAGGTGTTTCTCAGTTGTATAAGCAAGCAGTCTGAGCAAGTCAGGAGGAACAAACCAGTAAAGAGAAATCCCATGTGGTGCCAAATTCCATTGCAGCCTCCAAGATCCTGCCTTGAATTACTGTCTGACTTTCCTAGGGGGATGGACTGTGACTTGTGATGTGCGTGCCAGATCAATACCATTCTCCCCAAGTCGCTGTTGATGAGGGTATTCATTGCAGCAGCACAAACCTAAGCAGAACAGTCAAAAACACTTCCTCAATATCATTTAATAAAGCTATTAGATTATTTTCAGATTCAATATCAATATTGTTTTATCACCAGTGTTCAGGAGGCAGAGATACTTTTCATATTTGGATCCAGCATAGCCTTCATACTTTGTCCAACTGTATAACTAGGAACTGGGTTCGAATTTTGTGTCATATGAAGTCCTTTGGCTCCACAGCATTATGGGGCTGAGGTGGCAGTCATGAAGGAGAAGGCATTAATAGAAATAATTGGATAAAGACAATTATTCTGTGCACACTTACATGCATGTTTAAAATCATTTACTCAAAATTCATGTGAAGACTGATGTTCATTGGAGTACTATGCACAATAACAAAATTAAGGGGTCTAAGTGTCTGCTAATACATAAACAGTAGAGAAGACGTGACCCAGAATAGTGCTTCTCTTCAAAATGGGAATTTGTAGCAATATAGAAAGAACTGAAAATTTGAGGAATATCATGCAAAGTAAAAATAGTTTAATCCCAGAAAGGCAAATATGTTTCACTGACATGCAGATTGTAAAGAAATTGACCTCCTGGCAGCAAAGTACATGTTGTCAAGGCAGTGAGGAATAAGGAGACACAGATGTGCTAAAAGTATAAAAATCTGTTAAACAGCATAAGTAGGATTTTATTTCTTTGAGATAAATTGCACAGCAAATTCAATCTAGCAGATATTAGTAGACATTTCAAAGTTTCGTAGAATACATTTCTAATGTGTAAAATGATGTATAATTGTAGTAATGGACATCACCCTATTTAGCTCGATATAAATATTTCACAAAATTTTTCATGAATCGTATTAGTTTTATACCTTAATTGTATTGCTACAGATTATTAATCTACAATTCTAATATTTAAATTGTGAGATAGAAAGTAGATGTGGCATATACGGTTAAGTATAGCCAGGTCCATAAAGTTTCCTTCCTAAACTCTTGGTTTTGTTGATAAAAATATGTGAAAGCAAGCAATATGGGTATTGAAAACAATTTAGTGGAGACTGAGATGGAGAATGTGCTGAGCACCAGGGAATGAGTGTGTGGGAATGGAAGAGTGGAGAGAGGAAGTTGTGCATTTAGTAGAGTGGAGCCTTGAAGATAGACTGGCTCATTAGGAGAGGAGGAGAATCCCAGGTCCTCTGGGATGTGGTTGGTCACGTGGTGGTCAGGCCCTTTGCTCTTGTTTGGTCATTAAAGACAGGGCCACAGTTGTGACCTCACAGGCCTAGAACTTGTCATGTAGCCCAGCCTGGCCTCAGTCTGCAGCAGTCCTCATGCCTCTACTTCCCAAGTTCCCTGAGTTTGGAGATCTTGCTTCCTGCTCTTCTCATAGCCTTACCCATTCTTGGCTTGTTGTTTCTTTTCTTTTCTTTTGAAATGTGGCCTTTCCTAGATTGTTAAGTGGAAATTTTCTTTGATGTAGGAGGAAACTTGTCTCTAATAAGGTTTACCATCTTCTGATCTGATATTTAACCACCCCTGTATACCTAGATAAAGAGCCACTGACCTCTGACTTTAGTTGAAAAGGTGTAGCAGGCTGTTAGGACCCAGTCATGCCATCTGTCTTAGAGGAACCTGACGTGTGTATCTAGGAACCAGGTAATTGCAGAGGCCTTTTTCTTCCCCTCCTCCTGCTTACCATCTCCTATCACATGAACACAAATTATTTCTTCACAAATAAGCATGATTGAATTCCTTTTTTGAGCTTCTTGGAAACAATGAAGGAAGTTGGTTGGCCTGTTTTATGGGTAATCGTTGGGGCTCTAAAGATGGTTCTACAGTCAATGTCTATGTCTGTAGGTAGCTGTTGAGTGGAGATTCCCTACTGCTTCATGTTCTCATTCTTACTCTTCTGTAAAATCAAAGTGGCCAACTGAAAATGAAAATTCTTTGGAGATTATTCATCTTGTTGTTTCTCTCTTTATACATTGGGAATGATGCTTATGAATTTTGTTAGTTAAATTAACATCATGGATTGGGCTGCCAAGTAACTACCACAGAATCAGTGGATTTAAAATCAAATGTGTCTCTGCACTGCAGTGTGAGAGCCTGAGGGGAGGATTCTCTCCCAGGATCTTCCTGTCTGGCCACCTTCTCTCAGCCATCTTGTGGCAGACCCTGCAATGCTGGCTTTTCTCATGAGAGGACACAGATGGCATTATGGGTTCCACTCTCAGGATTTTATCTATAACCAATTAATTCTTAAATTATATACTCTAGGATGATTACATGAAAGGTCGTTATCAAATTCTTGGATTTTAGAGGACCTACTTCTATGAACAGACACTGGTGTGGAGACAGAGAGGAAAATAATTCACGGGACTCATACACCCTAACCTTTTAAACCAGAACAGTTCTAAATACTTACTGTATTTTTAAGTGTATGAGTGTTTGCCTACATGTATGTCTGTGTAAAATTAGTGTGCCCTGAGACCTGTGGCTATCAAGAAGATGCACTGATTCCTGTTCTAGTTTCGGATATTGCTATGAATAAACAGATGACTGAAAGGCAAGATGGGGAGGAAAGGGTTTGTTCATCTTGTATTTCCATATTGTAATTAATTCATCATTGAAGGAAGTCAGGACAGGAGGAACTCAAAGTAGGCAGGAATCCACAGAGGCCATGATGGGCCCTGCTTCCTGACTTGCTCCCCATAGCTTGCTTAACCTGCTTTCTTTTACAACCTAAGACCACCAGCTCAAGGATGTAGCTTACACAATGGGTTGGTCCCTCCCCGATCCATCAGTAATTAAGAAAATGAGTTGACTGGATCTTCTGGAGGTGTTTTTTCAATTGAGGTCCCTCCTTTTAGATAACCCTGGCTTAGGTCACATTGACATAAAACTCGCTGGCACGGAATCTCCTTAAACTCGAGTCACAGATGACTGTGATCCACCATGGAAGTGCAGGCAACCAAACCCAGGTACTTTGCAAAAGCAACAAACACTCTTTACTGCTGAGCTATCTCTTCAGTACTGTTTTCTTTTTCATAGAACAGATATGTGTAATGTTATTTATTCTACAGAACCAGTTGTATTGGAAAGAAACCATCCTAATGTTGAATTTACTGTTGCTTTTGCCTCCATTCTCTCCTGGCAGAGCCTACTTGCTCTTCTTGCTCACAGTCATCCAGTGTATTGTAAGTGTGACTGAAGGAGAGGTTCTCATGATTGACAGGGATCACTTTCCGTGAGTAACCTCTGCTCCAGAAGCAGGCATCAGGGGTGGGTGATCAAATTAATTGCATTCATAGTTGGGTCTAAAATGTTATGTTATGAATTACCAGCAATTCCCCTTTTTCTTAATTACTTAGTTGAACATAAACAGACTATGAAACTTTGTTTTTATAATGTGATACCATGAATTTTGAAGTATGTAAAGAGTTTTGTAATATTAATTGAAAAATGGATGGAAAATCAAGAGCAGAGGTTTCTGCTGCTCAGAGAAAGTCTCAAAATTGTGGTGAGACCACTAGATCCCAGTGCCTCAGACAACACAATATAGGGGGCTGAACATGACAGGAAATTCACTCACCCCCTCCCAAAGAAAGATGTCAGGGGTTTCATAGAGCTTGGGTGTAGTGGGTTCAGCAGCACATTGGAGCTGGAGAGGGACAGCTGCAGAAGAATCAGGGTCCTCTTGATGCAAGTCTAGAAAGAGAGCAAGACAGCAGTCAAATATAAAAGAACTGTTTATCTCCTGTGTTTTTCAAACATGGAAAAAAAATTTTCCCGGTGGCCTGTGCTTAGGATTCCCAGCTCTCAAACATGGCCAAGTACATGTCAAGGAGAGAAGTCTTCAGAGAGGAGCTGAGGGCTTCGGTTAGTTGGTAGAGTGCTGGCTCTGTGTGCGTGAAACCCTGTGTTACATTCACAGTACCACAAACCCTGAGCATGGCTGTATTTCGGTAATCCCAGAATTTGGCGAGCAGGTTAGAGGCAGGAAGTTGCTCAGTCTTGGATATGTATGGAACTTAAGCCAGCCTGGACTGGTGGTTCTGTATCAAAACAAAACAAAACAAAACAAACAAAAACCAGAGATGCACTGAAGACACTGAGAGTGGAAGAGCTTGGGATTTGGAGGGCAAGGTTGGAGAGGAAAGGGTTAGGTTTGGCATCTGGTAGAGATTCATGGTTGTAAAGAGAGATTATTGGAGGATGCATCTGTCGTAAAGTGAGGGTAGCAGAAGAGAAGGATGTAGTGTCCTGAAGATGCACTGTGACCTCAGAGTGACAGTCTCACCTTCTTCATAAGAACTGGAAGGAGAGAAGTCTCCATGACCACTGTCTGAGGTGAGGTATGAATGATCTGCTCCTCAGGGAGCCAGCTTCAGAGGGGCAGAGACTCCTAGGAGAGTGGGCACATTGAGCTGTTTCCCTGGAGGGGCTGTTGTGTGCCCAGAGTGGACAAAAGGGTGTAGAGTTCTCTGGTGGGGAGAATCATACTGAGAATATCAGAAAGCTATTGACCTAGATTGACTGGTCCCTAAGATGGGGACATGTGTTGGAGTCAGCATGGAGTATAGAGGAGACTGTCCTGTTAGGCTGCCTGTGGTAGCAAAAGTCAGTATAACCAGCATACTCTCTGTGCCTTCTGGACTAATCTAAGGATATATAATGTGATCATTGTCTCTGTAGACATGAGTATACCAGTGGATACTACAGAGTGTCATCGTATTTCCTTGGGAAATTGCTCGGTGAGCTGGTACCCAGGAGGTTATTGCCAAGTATTATATGTACTGTTATAGTATTCATCATAACAGGTAAGTGACAAGGCAAGAAAATGCGTCTTTACTCTTGGGGGAGCCTGTTTTAGTTTGTGCAATTGTGGCAAGTCTAAAGTAGAAAAGTATGAGTAGAAAAGCACATCTCCACTGTGTGCCATCAAAACAGGAGTTCAGCATGAAGAAATTCTTCAAGACTTGTTCACAAAATAGTATAAAAGCCGTTTATGAAACTGTGTTTTACTAGAGATTCTGTGCACTGTAATGAGTGCATAAATAGCTACACATTTGAGACAATGCCAATGGAGCAAGGTCAATTATTAGATATCTACGCAAAGCTGTTTTAAAAGATTTATTTTTCCTTCATTTGTTTGTTTGCCTTCTCTCTCTCTCCTTTCTGTGTGTGTGTGTGTGTGTGTGTGAGAGAGAGAGAGAGAGAGAGAGACAGAGAGAGAGAGAGAGAGAGAGAGAGAGAGAGAGAGAGAGAGATGAGCGTGTGTGTACTAAATGATTCAGTGCCTAGAGAGGCCAGAGAAGAACATCAGTTTCCCTGGAACTGGAATTACAGAATGGGAACTGTCATGTAGGTGCTGGGATTGGAATCCAGGGCCTTGCAGTAATGGCACATGCTCTTAATCAGTGAACAATCTCTCTACCACAGCTATGTATTTTTCCTATTTTTTGTATAAGTGTCTGTTTATGTAAATACAATATAGAAAAGTGGATAATATCTCACACATACGTATGTTGGAGGAGGGTGTCGCTTATTGATTCCCGGCCGCTTAGCCTGAAAATAATCACACAGAAACTGTATTAATTAAATCACTGTTTGGCCCATTAGCTCTAGCTTAGTATTGGATTACTCTTACATATTAATTTAACCCATTACTATTAATCTGTATATCACCACAAGGTCGTGGCATACCAGCAAATTTTCAGCACATCTCTCTACACAGGCGGCTCCGTGTTGTCTCTCTGACTCTGACGCTTTTCTCCCAGCATTCATTTTAGTTTTCCCCCCCTTGCTCTGTTCTTTTGCCCTATCACAGCCCAAGACAGTTTCTTTATTCATTAACAAATAAAAGCAACACATAGAGAGAAGGACCCCCCACACCATATGTATATGTGAAAAAGCACTTAAATGTATAAAATGTCTTATGCTAAGGTTTGTTGACAATATGTAATATAAAATGTTATTTTAAATATGTGCACAGATTCATTTGTGCATTATGGATAGGCTTCACCCTAGATTAATTTTTCAGTATATACATACTTTTCTCCCCCGCCCCACTCCTAAAGACACACAGACATGCACACTCATTCACACATGCACATATATGCACATACACTCTCTCTCACACATAGACTTTCAAAAATAAGCACTGATAATGATTGGACATTTTTTTATCAGAGATTTATTATTCAGAACCAGTTATTCAGGTTGTGGGATAGTTATGGGGAATGTGCTTATCTTGCAAATTGCACATCCTGAATTTCATCCTCAAAATTCACAGTGGAAGAGGGAAACACTCCAGAAAGATGTCCTTCAACTCCATATGCACACCATGGCACATGCACACCATGGCACACACACACCATGGCACACACACACCATGGCACATACACACCATGGCACATGCACACCATGGCACATGCATACCATGGCAACCATACCCACAAATGCATTTTGCAAACCATGATAGTAATAACATTAATTTTGTAAACAGTTAAGCATGAAATCCAGCTTTCCAAATTCTAACTTGTATCCTTGTGAATATTATAAAACACATGATTGTTTGTGACTCAGCCTTAGCTCCATAAAGATTGCAAATCAGGTAGTGAAACCCATCTCCATCCTCCATAGCAGTTACCTGGGGATTTCCAAGGGAAAACTAAAGTTGATGGCACCCTCCTATCCTCCAGATATTTAAACCACTGCATGGTTGTATAACCTTGCCTTAGTTATGTTTTTAGTGCTGTGACAAACAGCATGACCAGAATCAACTTGTGGAGGAAAGGTTTTATTTCGTCTTGTAGTTCAATGTCCTTTAAGAAGGGAACTCAGGGCAGGACCCTGGGGGCAGGGAGTGAAGCAGAGTCCATGGAGGAGTGCTGCTTACTGGCTCCTAATGGCTTCCCCAGGCTGCCTTCCTATAAAACCCCGGACCACTGCCCAGGTATGGTAGTTGTCTGAGACCTCCACATAAAACATCCATGAAGAAAATGTCCCTACAAGCTTGCCTACCTGACAATCTAATGGAAGCATTTTCTTAGTGAGGTTTCCTCTTCCCAAAGAACCCTAGGTTGTGTTAAATTTACGAAAAAACAACTGACATAGTCCTGATCTCAATTTTATTACTAATGCAATAATAGTAAACTCAGAGGAAAGTGGACATGAACATGTTCTATTGCTGATTCTCCTGTGAAAACTGTAATTAAATTCGGGCCACTTGTGTAATCTGTAGTTTTCCATATCAGGATCCTGTACATTGCTCATGATCTTATATCGAGGAGGGCATGTGTTATATGTAAAGATATTTTGTGACAAGAATAAAAATAAAGTGATATGATGAGGTTGGAGAGAGGTTCATTGGTTAAGAGCATGTGCTGCTCCTCCAAAGACCCTAAATTTTAGTCCCAGCATCCACGTGATCAGGTCACAGTTAGAGATGCAGAGAAGTTGGGTGGCCATGAAACCATTACTAATATTATTGATTATTAAAGTATTGTTTGAAATATGTACAATTTTCTTGACATGGATAGATGAACTGACGATATTTTTTTCTTTCAAAGAAGTAAACACAGATGTGAAGGGTTTTTTCGCTATGATATTTACCATCATGATGTTGACTTGTTCCGCCAGTTCCCTAATGCTGTCTCCAGGGGCAGGGCAGATTGCAGTGGGTGTACCAACAAAATTCCTTGTGACCATTTACTTTGTGATCATGCTGGTGAGTATGAATTATGTTCTTCTGAGAGGGAGAATTTCCTTATGTTCTTTCTTGCACATGTAACCTGCTTGACTCATTAGGACTTAGGACAGAGGCCTTATTCTAAGGCTTATTATGGTCTGTAGGAGAGAAGGAACTGCCTTTCCTCCTAGGCTTTATGGTTACTGCTCTGCTGTCAGTCCTATAAAGGGAGAAGCCATGGAGCCACCTGAGACAGACGTGTTGAAACTTTGCTGGTAACCTCATGTAGAAATACACAGATTAATGGAGATGGGTTAAATTAAGATGTAAAAGCTAGCTGATAAGAAGTTAGAGCTAATAGGCCAAGGAGTTATTTAATTAATACAGTTTTTGTGTGATTATTTTGTTTCTAAGCAGCCGTGACAAACCAGCAGCCTCCCCCAACATGGTTGGCATGCTGTTTCTTATTAGCTTTTACCAGAAATTTCTTGGAATCATATTACAAAAATGTAATAAAATAGAACTTCAAGAAATTGGTGTAATTGGCTGATTCCCCAACAACAAGACAGATTGCTGTCTTCCCTTAATGCCAGTGTGAGAGACTTGCCTGCTCTTTTAACCATAGCAGAGGTGATTTGGTTTATTCAGTAGTCTCTAATGGGAAAGCATAGTTGGTGGATGAATTTACTCTTTCTCTTTGCTCTTTTGGGCACCCACCACCCATCTCCCAAATAAACACATTGAATCTTATTATTACTTTCAAATACCTAGCCTTAGCATTGCTTGTCTCTGGCTATTATTTTTTTTTTTTTACTTATGTTATCCAATCTACCTTTTGCCTCTGGGCTTTTTCCTTTTCTCTTTTTATTTATTTTTATTAAAAATTATTTTACATACTACTTCCTGTTTCCACTCCCTTCCCTCCTTCAGCTCCTCTTACCTTCCCCCAACTCCATCCCTCATCAACTCCTTTGAGAGGGTAAGCCTTCCCAGGGGGAGTCAACAAAGACTGGTACATCACTTAGAGGCAGGACCAGGTTGTCCTCTTATATATAGGATGAGAAAGGTATTCCTCCAAAAAGAATGTGCTTCAAAAGGTCAGTTCAAGCACTAGGTTTAAATCATGGTCCCACTGACAATAGTCCCACAGACTGCCCAAGCCACACAAATATTGCCCACATTCTGAGAACCTAGTTTGGTTCTGTGCAGGTTCCCCAGCTGGCAGTTAGGGATCAGTGAGCTCCCACTAGCTCAGGTCAGCTCTGTCTGTGGGTTTCCCTACTTTTTCATACTTCTGTGTATCTTACTCTCACCTTACTCTATGAGTGGCAGTATGAATCGGTGGCTGTGTAGCTGAGCGGCTGGCCCCTAGCATCCTCCTCTTCTCCTTTCCTTGTTCCTCCATCCTCTCAGCTTTCTCCTCCTAGTTATTCTCTCTGCCTGCAAGCCCTGCCTATCCTTTCCTGCCACATTATTGGCCCTTCAGCTCTTTATTAGACCAATCAGGTGGGTAGACTGCAAAGTATTTCAACTTGACAAAGTTAATCAAATGCAATATAAAAAGAATGTGTCATATCTTTGTATTATTAACAAATGTTCCAGAGAGTAACATGTGTAACACATCTTAAAATAATATTCTACAAGAATGATCAATGTAATTGTTCAGCAGTAGGAGTCTATCTCAGGGCTCATTTTGTTCTGAAAAGTGTTAGAAATTGTGGAAGATTCCAGACTCCTCATCACTTTCCAGTATTAGCACACCATTAATGAAATTTCTGTAATTGGCTACCCAATCATTGTCTTTAATGAACATGGATTACACATGGTGGTGTCATTGGAGAGTCTGTGGGACCATTGGGAGGGAGAGACTTGGAGGGGAAAGTCTGTTGCAGGACAGGAGGGTGTTTGGGTGTTATATTCCTGTCCCCCTTCCTCTTTCCTCTCTGCTTTATACTGTCACGTGACGATGTGAGCACTTAGCTTCCTCTCTGAACTCCTTGGCTGCCCCCTGCTGCCTGCTACCTGCTGCCTGCTGCTATGCCTCCCTGCCAAAAGGCCTCTTGTCACTCTGGAAAGCCAAGGCCATGGATCTCTTTCTTCTACAAGTGGCCTGGATCATGGTGTTTTGTCTCAGAAACAGAGAAGTAACTGCTACATTTCCTGTTGTTCTCGCAATTCTTCCCTCCCCGTCTCATTCTTAGTTTAGATTTTATAAACCACTGGTTCTACCTAGCTGTGCCCATACATGCCTGTGAAAATGTCCATCTACTGGTGCATGGGCAGGCTCTCATGGGTCACATCCTTAAAGAAAACTGGCTTTCCCTCTCCCATCAGTCATCACTGCCAACAGCTCCTCAGATAAGGGAAGGAGTTCATGGCCTCCTCTCCTCCATGCTGGGATTTTGTCTGTCTTGAACTTGTACAAGTGTTGCCCATGCTGTCACAGCTGCTCTGCATTCATATGTGTCTCTGTCCTGTTGTGGCAGGAAAACACTGTCTTGTTGTATTTTTCCACTGCCTCTGGCTCATACAGTCTCTCTAGTCTCTATCATAATCCTTGATTCTTGGGAGGAGGGTGTGACATCCAGATGTCCCATTCAGGGCAGGATCCTCGGTCATCTCTATTCTCTGTATATTGACCCGTGGTAGGTCTGTCTTAATAACTGTCTCCTGAAAAAGGAAGCTTCTCTGAAGAAGGTCTGAGAAGTACTAATCTGTGGGTATCACCACAATTCATTAGATTCTCCCTTGGCACCTATGACCCTACTAGACACAGCTTTAGACAGGATTTCCTTCTCGTATAGCAGGCCTTAAATACAATCAGAAAATGAACGGTTGGTTAGTACTCTGTCTGATGTTCTCCATGTGTTTTTTTTTTTATCCCAGGAAAATGAAAAGCAGAAAAACCCCAGATGAGATCATTACTGTCCTTGAGCATACTTGCGACTTTACCACGAGCCTCCTGAAATCCCTACCGTATATTTCAGAATTTCTAGCTTACTGCCCATAGTGATAGCACCCAATCAAGATGGAAGTCATTACCTATAAGTGATAAAGAGAAACTGATGGAAAATCATGCCCCATCATGTTAAGGATTAGACTCAGAGTAATCTGTCAAGCACGCTTGCCTGGACTGTAGATTAGTTTCTGTAAAGGAAGCCTTGGCATTCTGGTTCTTAGACCTAAAACCCTCTACCATTTGGGGGCATTCTTGCTGGGGTACAATGATAGTGTTTTCATCTGTGTCATTGTTGGGGTGCCAGACTCTCAGGGCTTGTGACAGTAGACAAACATGGCTCTTGTGGACAAGACGATCAATAGAGATTGATTCTGTTGCCATCCCAGAGCATGGACCCCAAAACATAGCAGAAACAGCAAGACTCAGAAACCATTTCCATCAGCACTACCCATTGTTGATTCTGGTCATCCTACCTCAGAATATAGAAGGTAAACAGAGTCACCTTGAAGCCCAGAACTGCCTGAGCACTGTTACAGAAGATTTAAAAATGAAATGCAGTTCTACAGTGACTCCAGTGTGTTGGGTGGGAGGGTTAAAGATGACAGAATGTGTTCATATACATAAGAGGGAAAATCCTGTGTGACTCCATCCTTTTTCCCTTCTTATGTGTGGTTATATATTTAAGGGGAAGGATATGGGTGCACAACAGAGTAAGTTTTTCTGGGACTATATGGGGAAATTTCAAAAGGAATACATCAGATATTACAATATTAAACTGTCTCCTGGAAGTCTCCCTAAATTCTATGAAGTAGACTGACCTTTGTTGGGTTAGGAACCCAGAGGAAATTCCACAAATACCAAATAAATAAATAAACAAACTAAAAGAGAACTTTAATATACAGTGGTAAGAGTGTACCAGCTCCTCATATGGGTAGAGCCTTCTCCCTTCCCCATGCCGATGCTGGTGTGATGAAGACTATCTTAGAGTAACTCAGAACTACACACATTTGTTTAAGATTAAAGTCATTCTCAGAAGTACTGTGAGGCTCTCTGCACATGAACATTACATATCTCCTGTCCTATGGAGTCCACAGCCCTTCCCACCAGGAAATGAAGTCATTTTCACATCAATTGTGTTGCAGGTCACTCCTCCACTTTGCTTTCTCTTAGGTTGCAAAGTTTTCACCCAGACTACTCTGTTAAAATTTCCAGTTCATGGTTTCCTGCTTGGGAACCAAATAAAGATAAAAATCTGAAAATCAAAGCAGAAAGATGTTAAAATAGATCTGGGAGACCCCTTTCCTTTGTTGTTAACCAATAGCACAGTTGAGAAGGTTAAGGAGGTAGGACACGGTACATCTAAGTGAAAGACTGCTGACATCATTGTCCAGAGGATATGTACAGTCTTAATACAAAGAAAACATTTAAAATATTATAACATTTAAAAGTCTTGCTTATTATTTTGAACATGATTATAAAAACTTTTTAATGTAAGTAAAAGAGGTTTAATAACAGTTTGTTTTGTTGAGTGCCTAATCTTAACCTTACCTAAGAAAACAAAATAAAACAGAACCAAGCAAACAAAGAAAAAACCAGAAAACTTTCTCTGCTGGACAAGTACATGTGCCCCAAGTTGTCCCCTCTGGATCATCCAGACAGTCTTTAAAAATAATTCTCAACAGGAACCTAACAATCCCTCATAATCTAAAAGGCATGGAAAGTTTTCTTCTATAATTTTATTAAATATATTTTCTGGACCATTGAGCTGCACTTCTTCTCCTTCTTCTACTCTACCCACCCACTGAGACAGTGGGGCTGATCTATTGGGAGCTCACCCAGGCCAGCTGGGCTGTGACTGAAAAAGCATGGGATAAAACCGGACTCTCTGAACATGGCGAACAATGAGGGCTGATGAGAACCCAAGGACAATGGCACGGGGTTTTGAACCTACGTAATGTGCTGGCTTTGTGGGAGCCTAGCCAGTTTGGATGTTCACCTTCCTAGAAATGGACGGAGAGGGGAGGACCTAGGACTTATCACAGGGCAGGGAACCCTGACTGCTCTTTGGACTGGAGAGGGAGAGGGAGAGGAGTGGGGGGAGGGGGAGAAGGGTGGGAGGAGGGGGAGAGGGTGGGAGGAGAGGGAGGGAAATGGGAGGCTGGGAGGAGGTGGAAACTTGTTTTTTTTTCTCCTTTTCTCAATAAAAAAATGGAAAAAAAATAAAATAAAAAAAAAAGAAAACCCATACAGGCAAATACTCACACATAAAAAAATAATAATAATAAAAAATAAAAGGCATGGAATTGGCAGAGTTTACTCTCTTTTTACCTTTGCTACATGTGCTTGTAAAACTGACATATAGACTGAATACTTGGGTAATCTGTACAGCGCATATGCCCAAGAAGTGATTGCTACATCTGTGCGGCAAGACATCGCCAGGCTCAAGGATCCCTTTCCTTTGAGTAGGCCCCTGGTCCTACCCGAGCAAATGGCATATTGTCTTCTTTAAGAGTACACATGGGGGTATTCGAGTTTGCTAGAGTCTATTGTTCTTGTTCTTAGATATGCAGACAGGCCCACTGAAAGCCTCTAATCAACAGAAAGGATGAATTATTCCTCAAACAGGGGGATGGATTCTCTCTCCAATGGGTGCTGATTCCTCTGACAGTCTTATTGTTGATGTTAAGGATTTTCCCCCTAACCTGGGTCTTTTTTATTTCCATGTGAAATTCAATATTTTTTCTAATTTTAAGAATTGCAATAAATTTTGATGGGTATTATATTTAATCTATTAATTGTTTTTGGTAGGATGGATAGTTTCATAAGTTTTATCCTAGGAAATATAATCATGGGATGTCTGTCTCTCTTATATTTTTTCCTCTTTCCTTTTTTTCAGTGTCTTAACCTTCTTATTGTACAAGTATTTTATTTGGTTAGATTTATTCCAAGATTCCTCTTCTTCCACTTCTTTGAGGTTTTGTGAATGAGACTCTTCTCTCATTTCGTTCCTATTATATTTGTAAGTTGTACTTGGAAAAGCTCCTGACTTTTTTATGCTTGTCATGCTTTTTTATTACAGCCTTAGGGAAGGACCTAAGACAACTGGTTATTGTATAAAATTGCTACATGTGACCTTAGAACTAGTTATGAGACCAACTGGTGTGTTTTCTGTATAACCGTTTGGTCAGGTGCAGTCTGAATGCATGCACACACAGCCATTGTTTGCATATTCTAGTGTATCCAAGACTGCATAGGGCAAGTCTTAGGTGAACTTGATAGCCATCCCTTATTCATCCCAGTTCATCATTCATAGTATCTGTATAAACTGGGTATTATAAAAAATCTAAAGGGGAGTTCTAAATATGTACGATGGGTGTATTTAAAGTTTAAGAATGTTCATAGATTGCGTGCTATATTAAAGATTATGTAATATCTGTAAGTTTGGCTCCTGCAGAGTGCGGTGACTAGTTAGCCTTTAAAACGCGCATGGAGTCTTAGCTTTGCAAAGAGGGAGAATTCTGTTTAGAGTTAACTGAAAGAATGTCTTAAAGAACTGGTCTGAGCACTAACGGTCAGAAGGTTGAAGGGGTCTTGAAGAGGAAGGATCTTGTCTAGAAATCTTAGTTCCTGTACTGGTGCTAATTTATGGTTTTCCCCTTTGTAGTTTACCTTAGGTTTGTCAGTATTTTTAGTAAACGGCATACAGGGCGTCAGATGGATTCAGTACTTTAGCATTCCGCATTATGGATTTACAGTAAGTTGTCCTGTCTCTCATTGTATTTGGGTTCTCCAACTGTAGTCACTGAAATGATTCCAAACCAAGTCCTTTCCTCAGCTGTAATCTCTAGCTAGCCACTGCCCAGGAATTTCCTTCCAGGAGCAAGAGATGAGAACTTTCCTGTTGGTTTTTGCAGAAGGTCAATGTGTCATCTGAGATTTTCCCCATCACATGTTATTTGAAGGAAATAAAAAGTGAGAAGAATTCCAGGGTAAAGGGGAGGTAGATGATATGATGAAAAGCAAACAGTTGTGATTCTGCACAATAAGGAAATAAGGAAAGGATCAGGGACTAAGATATATAGTTTATATCAGGAAAATAAAAGATATAGAAACCATGTTATACCCAGAGCTATACTGGTTTTGCTACGCTTTTTCTGGAGGAAGTGTGTCTTAATAGAGTTTCTTATTCCAATAATCACAACTGGTTTTAATGAAAACAAGCAAGATAATATTGTTACTATAAATCAGTAGTATTGTTTTAAATATAGTGTTTACAGGGGAATAGACTTGGAGAGAAGGAGGAGCCTGGAGTAGCCTAGTTAGTGAGTCCACCTCTTAGTAGCTTGGAAACCCCATCATTTCACTACTAACCTTCAAGTGTGGGGGAGGGAAATGCTTTGCTGGGCAGACTGAACTTGGTGAGAATATTTTTGTTTAAAAATATTTCTACAAAAGATAAATATATTTAAAGATTACAGTCAATATTGAACTTGAATTTATAGCTGTGTTTATTCTTTGGAAATTTATAAAAATATTAAACTATTTGCCTGTCCCTGTTCCTGTTTGTGTTACAGGCTTTGCTGCACAATGAACTCCTGGGACAAAACTTCTGTCCAGAAAACAAAACAGCAGAATTCAGTAAATGTCAGAACATAGTAATGTAAGCTTGACTTCAGTGTCATGATGGGGACATAGAATGCTCCTAGACTTAGAGAGGAAACCCATCCTTTCAGGGTTAACACTCTGCTCTCTGCGCATTCCCCAGAGTGAGTCATGGTAACCAATGCACTGTGGTTACCATGAGTCATGGTAACCAATGCACTGTGGCTGTGTTTTAATCCTACTACTCCACAGTATAGATAATTTTCAGAAAGGGTTCTTTAGGGACTTTTAAAAATAGCTTGGTGTCTTGATTGTGGGTTTGAGTTGTTTCAGAACCTTTGAGTTTGACATGGCTGCTCTGATAGTTTACAAGGGCATACAGTTTCCACATGTATAGATTATGGCACCTGTGAGCAGAGCCCAAGAATATCAGTAAAACAAAGATAAAAGTGAGTGAAGTTTGTCTGCCAGATTTCAGGGAATTTCCTCTGCCCTACACTCTGGAAGACCTTAAGAAATCAAAGGGTGGTGCACCTCTCTCTGTCTCTCCCCCCCACTTCTCTGAGCCTGTGTTACTCTGTGGATGTGCAAAATGTATTATAATAAGGCTTGTCCTATAATGAAAAAATATACATTTCACTATGTTGTAAGGAAATATCATTTTTATCTAATACCTTGAAAATACCTTTGCTTTTTATAATTATTCTCATTAATTTGATATTGGTATGAAATTAGAGAGGAATATGGTGATATGTTAAATCTTTCACAGATGTTCAAAATAATAGTGAATTTAAATTTGAATTACTGATAAGAAAACAAGTGTTGAGAATATCTTTTTTCCCACATCTCCTTTCTCCTGTGTGGTCTGGTATCTTTCTAATAGAAATTCCTAATCAGTTTCTGGTCAGCAGGACTTGGATGGGGAAAGTGAAAACAAGGAGAGCCATGCACAGACCGCATATCCATAAAAGGATTGTCTTCACAAGAGGAAGGAGAAATCTGTCCTTTCAGTGGATTTGGGAAATGTTAAATTCTATGAGATACCAGGGAATGGAGACACACAGGAATGGAGACACAGAGATGGAGACACATGAGATTAAGAGACACATGAATGGAGACACACAGGGATGGAGACACCTGAGATGAAGACAAGCAGAAATAGAGATAAAAAGGGATGGAAACACACAGGATTGGAAACACACAAAGGCAAAGAAACACAAGGATGTAGACATGTAGGGGTGGAGACACACAGATGTGGAGAAACACAGGGATGGAGACACACAGAGATTGAGACATATCATGATAGGGATACACAAGCCGTATTGTAGTCCATCCAGAATTTTTACCAGCAGCTGCTTTTCTAAACTATGTCTGGATCCCTGCATCCTACTGTGCTGCAACTGCTCCCCAGGCTCTGTCTGGAGTCAGGGGCTCCTGGGGATGTTCCACAGCTGAGCGTCCATGGTCATTATTGCTCTCTTAGTACATGACAACAAAGAACTGACTTCTCTCAGAAACCCTTAGTCTCCTCTGGTCCTCGGTCTAGAAATTGATGCTGTTAGTTTGCATGACTGTGTGTTGAGTCAGGAGAATTACACAACGCTTTGGTCTCTTAGAGTGTCCATGGGTGTAATTAATAAGCAGAGGATTCTGCTTTGCGAGAAACAAGTCCTTCATCTCTGCCTTTGTCCTATGGAGAGAGCAGCATTGTAGATTTAGAAATGAATGACTCAGTTAAGACTATGAAGTTGGATCTTAGTGTGACTTTATGAACTTATCCACGTTTACTAAGACTACTTCCTCTTTGCTTTTAAATAGATGTGATAGCTGTGCTTCTTCAGATGGTTTTTGAAATTAACAAAGGAACCTCATTCAAGTAGTTTAGATTGACATAATATATAACAAAATTGTCAGTACACCAATACTACTATCAACTAAATATAAAGATGAAGTTTTAAATGATGTGTTGAAAAGGAAGGAACAGTGAATGTACTGAATAAGCTTTGAGATTATTTTTGTGTGTGTTGAATTACAGATGCACTGGAGAAGAATACTTGGCAATCCAGGGCATTGACCTCTCATCGTGGGGCTTCTGGAAAAATCACGTGGCCTTAAGTTGTATAACAATTATCCTCTTCTCACGTAACTATGTGGAGTTACTAGCTTTTATGAAAATGAGACATTTTTTAAAACGGTCTTGCACTTTCATTGAAGTAATATGGCCTTAAAAAAATTAAAACTTTACCAATCGGTGACCATGTCTGAGGAGCAGTAGGTAGCTCTTGAATTTCAGGAGTTTGGCCCACCAGAATTCAAGGCACTGATGGGTGGATCATGGATAGGCAAGGCCCCAAGGGCTTTGGCTCCAGAATGTCTCTTGCTACTGCTGTGCCTTTACATTTTTGCTGCTGCCATTTTTCTCTGGTATTTGCCATGGTGTGAATGAGTGTGAAGGGATTCCCCTGTTTTTGATGTAGTGTGATTATCTCATGGAAATACCATGAACTACAAGGCAGTTGTACCTATAGATTATAATGAAGATGATTTCCTCATAAGCTGTATTGTGTAATTTAAGTAATGATTTTACAATAATAGTGGTAGTTCAAATTGAATTTTGATGATCATGGATTTTTATCAAATGTAGTAAGTGATTATGATAGAGGTTAGTTTAGTGCAAAAGTTAATATAGGTAAACATAGGAAATAGTATTGTCCAAAGCCCTGATACAGCAGGGACTGGAGAGGATAGAAAATAGAAACAAGGAATTGTCATAAAACTAAATGTTAATAATTTCTCTTAAAAAACATATAGACTATTGCTTAGGTTAATAATTATGGAAAACAATTGAATCCCGGGAGTCTGCTCAAATTCTTTTTGATATTGGGAAATGTGTTCTCAGTTTTCAGTGTGCACCATAGCTGAAAGAGAGCTGAAAAACAATTGACTTCATGTAACTAGAAAAGAAAGAATGTTATGGTTAATTATCAAAATGGGACAGACTCTAAAATATGAAAAGTGAACCTAGTAGTCTGTTTTTCAGACAGTTATAAAAACTACTGCCTAGGTAAGTAGTTATGGCTGAAAGGCTCCTGATCTACGAGAAGTCTAAAAGATAAATATTTAACTGTATGTGGGTGCTTGAGGATAGTTTATTTTTCACCTGTAATACATAGAATGTTTAATCATGTAAGGGAAATGGGAATCATGCTGTTTCTTACTTGTATTCGTTGTAATCATTCAGTAAAAAATAAAATGTAACCACATTGTGATTTTTATATTGTTTAAATATTCTGGTGGGGTACAGAAGTTTTAAGGAAAAAAAATAGCGAGAAAAAAACAGGAAGTGGAGGAAAAGGTAGTCATCAGGATGTAGAGGAGAAGGAAGTCATTAGGAAGTAGAAGAGAAGGAAGACATCAGGAAAGAGAAATAAGAAAAAAATCAGGGTAGAACAACAGAAAAGAAAAATATAGGGTAGAACAAGCAAGAGAAAGAAGAATAAAATGAATAACTAAATTTTGGTCCTTGTGTACCCATTCGTCTGTTCAGTAGCTTGCACGCTCTGCATTTCCTCTTAGTTTCTCTGTCCTGCTGAAGGTTTGCCATTCATCAACACCCTCACTGAGATCCTGACATGTTGGAGATGTGTATGGTTGTGTGTTTCCCTTCCTTGCTGGCCACAAAGAGTTAAGTTTTGTCCCAATCGCTAGCCTCAGAGAATTCATTTTACTTCTCAGATAGAAAAGTCTATGGGAGTGATTATTCCTGTTACTCTCTGCAGTCCCTTCAGTTCCTGACCTGCTGAATGCTGGTCGCTACAGGAGTAAAACTTACTATTATTTTTTGTTGTTGTTGCTGTTGTTGTTCTGTAAATCCAACCAAAAACCAGCAACTAGCATTTTGGGTTCTTTGGTATAACTTTTCTACAATTGTTTAAAGAGATTTGATTGCAAACTGTCTTCTAAATATTTTTACCTATACGTATGGGCACAGGCTACAGCCAGCATTACCCAGGTAAGATTCCATCTGTAATGCGCTGTGGTGAGTGCAGAGACTCATGACTGATAAAGGTACTGACTCTTCACTGTTTAACCCCAAAGAGGGCACAAATACCATCTTCTCTAATGTTCAGAACTGTATGGAAGACTATATAGATTACAAGAACCCTAAAATGAGAAGAACGGCTGGGATTACTATATTATGGGCATGACATACACAGCCCTTGCAACCATGATCTGTCTACTACGTCTACAACTACCTGCACAAAAATGGGTCTCTCATCCACAAACTAAGAGTCAGGGAGGAACTCAAGAGAACCGTATTCCATTCTACTGAACTATAGCTACAAGTAGATTCTGATGGATTGACAGTCATTGATTTCACATGTATACTCACAGGAGAGCCAGCTAGGCTCCAGTGGACAGTCTAAAACCCAGGGTCACACAGAGAGCCCTGATTAAACTCTGTGGCTCACAAGAGAGAACACAAAGACAGGAATGTGGGAAAGAGGCTTGTACAGAAGGTTGAAAGAGGGGGTTGAAAGGGAGATAAGAAAGGTGGGAGGGAGGAAGTATGGTTGAAATGCATTGTGTACATATATGGGACTGTCAAACTTTTGAAATAAAAATTACAAATATAAAAAAGAACATCTTATGTAATGTATCTAATGAAGACTTTTTCTATTCAGTTTCTGTTATATTCTAAATAAGCAACAGTCAATTTTCTTTTAAATTATCAAGATAGTGACAAACTTAATTGTAACGTAAAGGTACCAAGCACCAAGGTAATGTTCTTAAGTATTACATCTTAGTTCATCTCACTGATAACAATCATGAGAGAAACCAATCTAATTTCTTTAACTAGAAAGGGATAATTTGTCCTACAGAACTTTACATTCTTTATAATTTTATATCTTCATCTTCACAATCAGTGCATATGTCCACTAAATGAATCCATCATTGGCCATTATCTGGTTCATAAGAAATTACAGATTCTTTTAAAATCATAGTTCTAAAATATGGTATAAAATCTGTTTTATTTCTAAAGTTAAAAAAGTCACTGAATTTGCCGAACTTGGTGTGGTGGTACAAGCTTATAGTGTCATTTAATATGCCATGTCCTTCTGTATATGTGTTACTTTTATTGGTTGATGAATAAAGCTGTTTTGACCAATGGCTTAGCAGAGTAAAGCCAGGCAATAAATCTGAACAGAGATATATAAAGAGAGTAGGTGGAGTCAAGGAGATGACATGCAGCTGTCGAAGGAGAAAGATGTTAGACCATTACTGGAAATTCATAGCCTTGTGGTGATACACTGAATAACAAAAATGTGTTCATTTAAGATGTAAGAGCTAGCTAGAGAAACACCTGAACCATAGGCCAAACAATTTATAATTAATATAAGCCTCTGTGTCTTAGTTTGGGACTGAACAGCTGCAGGATCTGGCTGGACAAAAATTTCCATTTACAGTCATTACTTGAGAAGTGAGAAGATCAGGAGTTCAAGGTCATCCTCAGGTAGATAGTATATTTGAGGCTACACTGGGTTGCAAAAGACACTACTTCAAAACAAAACAAAAACAAACAAACCATGCATGAGTGACTATGGAAACATCTTTGATTAGCTCATTAAATAAGATTTATGGATGGTGTTTTAGAGTTTGTATTACTTTGAAGAAACACCATGACCATAAAGCAAGTTGGGAGGAAAGGGTTTATTTGGCTTATACTTCTACATCACTGTTTGTCACTGATGGAAATCAGGACAGAAAGTCAAGCAGGGCAGGAAACTGGAGGCAGGAGCTACCACAGAGGCCATGGAGGGGGTTGCTGCTTATTGGTTTGCTTAGCATAGCTTTCTCAGCCTGCCTTCTTATAGAAGCCAGGATTATCTATCAAGGCTAACAGCTTGGATAAAAAAAAACAAAAAACAGAATCCATCATTCTGCTGCATAGATGAAACACTCCTCAAACTCAAAAACAGACAGCACCTCAGAGTAAATAGTTGGGAAAAAATTCCAAGCAAATAGACCTAATAAAGAAGGATAATATCAAACAAAATAGACTTCAAACTAAATCAGTCAAAAGAGACAAAGAAGGACATTTTATATCTGACACAGGAAAAACTGATCAAGAGGAAATCTCAATTCTGTACACTTATGCCCTAAATACAAGGACAGCCTCATATGTAAAAGAAACACCACTAAAGATTAAATCACATATTAAACCCCACACACTAATAGGGGAAGACTTCAACACCCACTCTCACCACTGGAGAGGACTGCCAGGTAGAAACATAACAGGAAAAATAAAAGAACTAACAGATGATATGACTCAAACACACTCAATAGATATCTATAGAACATTCCATCCAAACATAAAAGAATGTAACCTCTCAGCACCTCATGGATCCATCTAAAAAATTGACCACATACTAGGTAACAATCAAACTTCAATGTAGTAAAAGGTAACGGTGGGCTGTGTTCCCGCTGCCCAGCTCCTGGCAAGCTTTACCCGAAATAATTACACAGAAACTGTATTTATTTAAACTCTGCCTGGCCCATTAGTTCTAGCCTCTTGTTGGCTGACTCTCACATCTTTCTTTAACCCATATCTAGTGATCTGTGTATCACCACAGGGTCGTGGCTTACTGTGAAGATTCTAACCTGTGTCCATCTCGGGTCGGAACTTCATGGCATCTGCCTTACTCTGCTTCTTTCTCCCAGCATTCTGTTCAGTCTACTCTACCTATCTAAATTCTGCCCTATCAAAAAGCCAAGGCAGTTTCTTTATTTGACCAATGAAATCAACACAAATACAGAATGACCTCCTCATCACTTCAACAGATACAAAAACAATTGGAACAACCCCAGGTATCCTATCAGATCACCATGGCTTAAAGTTAGAATTCAACAGCAACACTAATTCCAGAAAGCCCACACACACATGGAAACAAAGCAATGCTCACCTGAATTACAAATGGATCAAGGAAGAAATAAAGGAAGAAATTAAAGACTTCATAAATTCAGTGAAAATGATAACACAACATACCAAAATTAATGGGACATAATGAAAACAGTATTAATAACACTAAATGCCTACATAAAGAAGCTGGAAAAATCCCACACTAGTGAGTTGACAGAGCATCTGAAAATCTATAACAAAAAGAAGCAAACTTACCCAGGAGGACTAGACGGCAAGAAATAATCAGATTGAGAGGTTAAATCAACAAAATAGAAACAAAGAAAACAATACAAAGAATCAATGAGACCAAGAGTTGGCTCTTCGAGAAAATCAACAAAATAGACAAACCTTTATCCAAACTAATCATAAATCAGAGAAAGAATATCCAAATTAACAAAGTCAGAATTTAAAAGGGGGACATACCAACAGACAGAGGAAATACAGATAATTAGTAGGTCTTACTTTGAAAACCTGTACTCCACAAAATTGAAAAACTTAAAAGAAATGGGCAATTTTCTGGATAATCATTTACCAAAATTAAATCAAGACCAGATAAGCAAATTAAGTAGACCTATAACTGCTAAACAAATAGAAACAGTCATCAAACATCACTCAAACAAAAAAATTCCAGTACTAGATTGTTTCAACATAGAATTCTACAAGATTTTTAAAGAAGAACTAATACCAATACTCCACAAATTGCTCTACACAATAGAAACACAAGGACTATTGCCAAACTCTTATTATGAGGCTACAATTATATTGATACCCAAACCACAGATAGGCATTACTTAGAAAGAGAATTGCAGACCAATCTCACTCATGAACATTGATGTAAAATACTCAATAAAAATACTAGCAATCCAAATCAAGAACATATTAGAAAAATTATCTACCATGACCAAGTAGACTTCATCCCAGAGATGCAGGGATGATTCAATGTAATCCACCATATACAGAAAATGAAAGAAAAAAGTACATGATCATTAGATGATGGAAAAAGCCTTTAGCAAAATAAATACCACTTGGAGAGAGCAGTAATATAAGGAACATACCTAAATATAATAAAGTCAATATATAGAAAGCCAACAGCTAACACCTACTAAATGGAGAGAAACTCCAACTAATTCCATTGAAATCAGAAACAACACAAAGTTGTCCACTCTCTCCATATCTATTCAATATAGCATTTGAAGTTCTAGCTAAAGCAATAAGACAACAAAAGGATATCAAGGGGATACAAATCAGAAAAGAAGAAGTCAAACTCTCACTATTTGCTAATTATATGATAGTTTACATGAGTGACCCCCAAATTTCTACCAAGGAACTTCTACAACTCATAAACACCTTCAGTAATGTAACATGAAACAATATTAACTTCAAAAATCAGTAGCCCTCCATTATACAAATGATAAACAGGCTGAGAAAGAAATTAGAGAAACAATCACCCTTCACAATAGCTACAAGTAATATAAAATATCTTGGAGTAACTCTAACCAAACAAGGGGATAACTTGTATGACAGGAACTTTAAATCTTTGAAGAAAGAAATTGAAGAAGACACCAAA